AATGGATTATATGATGTTTGCGCAACTCTGAATATACTAAAACCTACGGAACTGTGTGCTTTAGATGGGTGAATTATATGGTATGAGAATTATATCTCGATAAAGCCTTTTTTTAAAAAAGTCATATTCTCAGACTAGCGAAGATTCATAACCTCCCAACTTGTGACCTATAGTGCCTCTCATCTGTGCTATTCTCCTTGAATAAGTCTTTTTGAATAATTCTTTTTGCAGAAGTCTGTGGCCCAATGACATCTTTGGAAGCAGTTCTGATGATGAGGTCCAGACACTACTGAATATTTACTTCCGTCACCAAACTCTGGGACAGACCGGTACTTATGCACTGGTGGGGTCCAACCAGAGCCTGACCGAGATCTGCACCAAGCTGATGGAGCTGAACATGGAGATCCGGGACATGATCCGCAGGGCCCAGAGTTACCGAGTCCTCACGGCTTTTCTCCCAGACTCCAGCGTTTCTGGCACTAGTCTCTGACAGGAGCCTCCCGTCCCCCATGGGTTCCAAGCTGGCGGTGCTGCCATGCTGGGGCGACGTCATTCAGTGTCTTCTCGGCCTTCAAAAGGCTTGGACAGACTGTTCTCCCTCTTGTTACCTGTAGGGCTTTTTCTAAAGAGGATGGCAGAACTTCCAACGTGTAGCAATACCATAAGAACCAAGGTAGCTTAGAGCATCCTGGGACAGACTCCATCCGTCATGCTGCGTGGCACAAATGTGTTATCGTTTTATTCAGCATATGCAACTCACTACTGAAGAAGTGACTTCCATTGCATACCAAAGCCGACTACACTGAACAGTACCTTCCTTTCTAGAAACAATTTTAGATTGGCAAAAGTGCAATGTTTTCTTCACTAAGAAAAAAATTTTATATTCTAAAACTTGTACATTCTTTCCCTTTCTTCTTCCTTTTTTCTTTTTTTTTTTTTTTTATTTTTCCTTTCTTTGGTGGGCTGAGAAAGAGGCAGGCAGAATGAAGCTGGCCACTGAAAATTGTAAGATGGTCAGAAGCTGACAGCCTGTATATGTGAAAAGGGAATTGTAAATGGACTACAATTTAATGTACACTGTAATTTGAATACAATTACTGTATCTAAAAGGAGCTGCTATGAAGTACCTTTCTTATGTTGCTAGGCTACTGTTTCTGAAGGCCCTGGATCTCTTTGCACCAAAAATGGTCCAGATAGACTCTTTTTAAGGATCTTGGCTGCTTTTTACTAGAAGGTTGCTTTTTTGAGCATATTTATACTACAGAAGGATGAGTGTTAATTTTAATTAACTTTGCCATTTTGTAGAGAAAAACTATTCGCAATATAAATTCCAAGTCTCGTCACCTGTCACGCATGCATATTTTATTATAATATCCATTTGGATAGCCGGAAGTAGAATCATAAAGGTAAAATATGAGTTGTCACTTTGTTTCTTAAGAAATGTCATATTTTATTTGTAATATATATGTAAAGGGCCATTCTTAAGTTCTCTCCTTAAACTTAATGCTGTCAAGTGTTAGATGTGTGCATGTGAACTTGTTGCACATCAGAAACATATTCAAAGTTTATCTGTGTAACTTATTCACTCTGTAAATACATTTAAAGTTTTTGTGATGTAATCTTAATTGATATTCTGTTCAGAACTTTCTTTAGACTAAAAAAAAAAAAAGACAAAATATATGTTGACCATGGATTTTATTTCTAGTTAATGAAAATGTTTGCCTCGGACACATGTTAAGTTTTGCATGTAGATTGCCACCGTGACAACCCGAAGGGGCACCATTCTAGTGTCTCCCATGGAGGTCACACAGTGCATGGCCCTGTGGAGCTGGAGGTAAGTCTAATCTCTTTGCAAGTGGATACCCTCTGTAATCAACCAAAGAGAAAAATCAGAAAAGAATGAAAGCTCTAATTCTCCATAACCTATCATATCAAGCAGTCATCCTTAGAATTTTGAAATAGAGTCTTTAATGAGCAGGAAAAAGCAGTACGAGTTTTCATTCTGTCACCAATACCTAGCAATTCTCCACCCTGCTAGAGAAACAGAGAGACACAGTAATCTCATATATACTGTCTTCCTACTCATGTTTACTTGGACTAACACGTATACTTGCTTTGCCTAGAGTACAACTGCTGAATCATTAGCAGTCATTTTCTAGGAATATCCTGCAGTAGGGAGTCCAGAGTTGTTGTTTTTTTTTTATGTTATCACAGATATAACTTACTAGTAGATTTTAATAATTTTCTGGATTGCTATAAACATTCTTCTGATGATTTATTTTTTTCAACTTACCTGAAAGATGATTTGCTATGATTTGTAGGAAACAACTGAATCACGATCTCTCTGCAAAATACCTCATAAATTAAAGGTTTCTGTGGGTAACCACAATAGCCAACTTTCAGGGAGTTTTGCTGGGAGGCATGATAGAAAGGACTGATCAGTCGTGTCTGAATTTAGTACACTGTAATCTGGAATACTAAGCTGTAGTCATAGGAAATAGTGGGGTTCGTCTTGTTTCCTAATTTTATTTTTAAAAGGAGACATTGTTCATGTGAAAGGTTTCTGCTACTCTTCCTCTATTTCTTCACCTCCTCTCCCTTGAGTGGAGGTAAGAAAAATTGTGTAGGAAAGCAGCCCCTCCCCAGCTGAGCCAGCAATGACTTTAGATCCACCAGTCCAACCTCCTTGGCCACTGTGCTGTGCCTCTGTCACTGAAGCCTTTGTTTTAATTCCCTGCCCTAGGGATACAGAGGAGTAGAGGTGCCAAAGGAGAGGGCAGGTATCTAATAGCTTCAGTGATAAAGAAAAGTGCCTCCTCGAATCTCAGTGCTTCCTTGCACCAAAACAGGATGCACTTTTTATCCACCGGCATAATAAAGCAATCCAGATAGGTGCTCTGTTACTTAGATATAACTATATTAAAATTATAGTCTCTAAATAGAATATTTTAGAAAAAAGCACTATACATTTTAGAAGTATGTGAACGTGTCTTATTCCCTCCAACAGGTTAAGCAAATGTGTTAGTGCAGCTGTGACACAAAGATGCTTGTCACTGTTAGCATCACACACACACACACGGAGTTAGGTCTTAAGGCTCTTCTGTTTCCAAGTCCTAACAAATGTTGATCTTTTCAGCGAATTGCAGAATTCTATTATAGAAAGAATGAGGGTACCTCCAGGCTGCTTCCGTCAATAGCTTCCACCTGCTTCCAAATACCTGCCTTAACAACATGAAATTAGTGTCCAAAGGTAAATATTGTGGTGTGTTAATTATATTTCAATAAAACTGGTTTTTAAAGTTTTCAATGTATTTACTTTGGATCAATTACTATTTAAATGCCTATCACGAGGCTGAGATACTGTCCTCATTCAGCAGATATTTATTGTGTGCCCACTCTGGGCTAGGCAATATTTCAGTGAATACCACAGCTATCAAAACAGGTGTGGTCCTTGTTCTCATGGCGCTCACACATTTTCGTGGGGAAGATGTACTTGTCTGTGGCAGGTGGTGATAAGTGCCATGAGGGACAAAACGGGGATGAGAGGCATGCTATTTCGGCTGGCGCTCTAATGAGGTGACATCTGAGTAGAGATATGAATAAAGTGAGGACACAACATGGTTATCTGTGGGAAGACATTTCAGCAAAGGGGGACATGCATGCTCAGATCCTGAAGCAGGAGCAGGATCACGTGTTGAAGGGACAGCAAGGAAGCCAGTGACCGAGTGAAGAGAATGTGCAGAGAGGACAGCAGAAAAGGCTCTGAGGGCCACAGGAAGGACTTGGTCCTTTGCTGAGCGAGATGGGAAGCCGCTGGATGTTTGGGGGCAAAGCAGTGATGTGCTTGGACCTATGTTTTAAAAAGAATACTCCAGGGTGATGAAAAGTTTCTGGAAATAAAAGTTCAGTGGTGGCGCTTATACAACATTGTGAATGTACTTAGTGCCAATGAATTATGTACTTAAAAATGGTCAATTTCATGTTATATGTTTTACCACAATAAAAATTTTTTTAACGGACCACTCTGGCGATGTGCAGAATAGACTTCAGAAGGGCAGAGGAAGAAACAGGAAGACCAGTGAGAAGGCCATGGCAACGGTGCAGCCACCAGGTGATGCCGGTGTGGGCTGGTGCAGAAGAGATGGCGGTGATTACAAGTGGGCATATTCTGGCAGTATCTCAGAGGCAGGGCTGACGGCACTCACCAATGACACATGGAATGTGAGAGACTCCCAAGAGTGGGCCAAACACCTAGAAGAATGTTGGATCAAAACCATCTTCTCCCAGCTCCCTTTGGCCTACAGTTCTCAATTCTCAAGTCACCTCTTCCCAGCCACCCTGCCTAAAAGGGTTACTCTATCACAGCACCCTGTTTCCTTCATTGCACTTATCACAGTCTGAATTTGAAAAGAAATAGGAACATAGTAGTTAAAAGCATAGAGCAAGTCCTAATCCACCTGGATTCAAATCCTGGCTCTACCCTCTGACCTGTCTCCATCCCTCATTCATGACAAGGTAGAGTAGTTCAGAGCAGTTCCTACTAGATATGGCTGCTGTGATGGGTTACAACAATGCCTGGCACACGCTAAGTGCTGTTCCAGCATTTGCTGTAATTATGAATGTTTGAGGACAAGGACCTTGCCCCTTCATCACTTCTACATTCCTAAGAGCACCAGTTTATAAGAGTTTGTCAAATAAGTATTTTTCCTCTTTATTGTTCCTCTTCACATAAGTCTGTGGTCCCCAACCCCCAGGCTGCAGACCAGTACCAGTCCATGGCCTGTTGGGAACTGGGCCGCACAGCAGGAGGTGAGCGAGTGAAGCTTCATCTGTATTTACAGCTGCTCCCCATCGCTCACTTCACTGCATAAGCTGGGGAGCGGCTGCAAAAACAGATTATCATGAGCAGAGAGGTTTGACTGCACAATAAATGTAATGTACTTGAATTATCCCAAAACTGTACCCCACCCCAGTCTGTGGAAAATTTTTCTTCCATGAAACCAGTCCCTGGTGACAAAAAGGTTGGAGACCACTGACATAAGTGACAGTATCTACCATTTCCCAATGCTATATTGATGTTTTTACCCAGGGATTGCAAATCAATGTGCCTTCACGGTCTAGTTCACATGCATTTATTGTATTTTATTCACATTGTACAATTGTTATACAACCTACAAAAAGTACAAAAGTCTAGTCCGTTTCCCACTGCCAGGTCAGAGCCAAGTTACAAAAAAGGAAGACAGCATGACAAGTTACGAGTAGAGCTCAGGTGCCCTGTACACAGCCACACTGCCCATCACCCGATGTATTTAAAGCTGTGAATGTGGCCACAGGAGAATCTCTTGTCTTTGCAGCGACCACACAGTTCTTGTCGATGAGGCCTCCTTAGATCAATGTGTCTTTTCTTTTGAGGACAGGAGCAACGAGACTTTGAACAGGTCTTCGGAAAACAAGGAAAAATTTTGGACAGCAAATGATCAAATTAGTGTTTCGAATGTAATCCTCAAATCAAAATACTTCTCCCCACTACCCCATCCCTGATATCCTCAGGGATATTTTGAGTCCTACGAGAAGCCCAAGACCAAGTTCTGCAGAGCTACTTATATCCCATAAGTGCCATACATTGTTCAAGATGAGCGACCAGAGAAGATGTTCAAGAGAATATTGCTGAGCCAATCAAGACAACATAATGTGGCTGGGCGTGGTGGCTCACGCCTGTAATCCTAGCACTCTGTGAGGCCCTGAGGTGGGCAGATTGCTCGAGGTCAGGAGTTCAAAACCAGCCTGAGCGAGACCTCGTCTCTTACTTGACCAACTAAAAATATATATACAAAAAATTAGCCGGGCATGGTGGCGCATGTCTGTAATCCCATCTACTCTGGAGGCTGAGGCAAGTAGGATCACTTGAGCCCAGGAGATTGAGGTTGCTGTGAGCTAGGCTGACACCACGGCACTCTAGCCGGGGCAACAGAATGAGACTTGGTCTCAAAAAAAAAAAGACAACATAATGTAAGAGAAAAATTGTAAAAAGTTGAGTTTTGTAAAGTAGCTTTACTCTGTAGGTTTTTACATTGGTAGCCAGGTGGGGGGGTCAGTGGCAGTGGGTGGTAATTAAGTGATTGGATTATCTAAATGGAAACATTTAAAAACACTAGAGCAATGTTTTTAAATCTCAACCAGAGGTGATTTTACTCCCCCCAGCCCCACCCCCACCTCCAGGGGACACTGAGCAATGTCTGAAAATGTTTGGGGTTGTTACAGCTGGAAGGGAAGTATATTCTAGAAAAAGCTAAATTTTCTTTCCAGACATGCCCAGTCGTTACTATGATCTACTTTCCACCATTATCTCATTTCAGTAAACAAAACATTACATCCTATGGATACTGGTATACTGCCCTGGTCTACCCTCCCAACACTGCCAGTCTTTGATGTTGATAATCACTGCTCTATTTTCTATAATGTCCCACAGCCACACAGAATAAGTCAAGATTTACCTTTTTATATTGTAAAAATAGGTATTTTCATTTTCTGAATAGGAGTCTTAAATAGGATTTATCAAACTTTATACTATAGTCACATCCTCTACTCTCCCACCGAGCGTATCTCCTTTTAAGAAAATTCTAATAGCTAATATTCACATGGTGTCTAATGTGTGCCTAGCACTGTCCTGAGCACTTTATATAGATTAATTCATTTAATGTTCACAATATCTTTATGAAGGGTTATCTGACACAGGGTTTAAAATCCCTGTGTTTAATATGTTCAAGGAAATAAGACTAATAATTCCAGCAGAACACTGGAAGTTTTTTTTTTTTTTTAAGAAATAAAAATTCTGGAACAGAAAAATATGATAACTGAAATCAGTGTAGCTCAATGGATGGGTTTGAAAGCAGATTGAAAAGAGCTGATATGAGAAATAGAAATGGAAGATACAACTATTATGTACCCATAATAATTAAAAATAAAAAAAATTTTTTAAAGAAATGGAAGATAGTTTAATAGGTGATGCCCAGCCTAAAGTAAGGAGAGACAAAAGCATGGAAAATATAGAAAAGAGCAGAAAAGATCTGATATGAGTAATTATATAATAAGAGAGAGAATGGGGAAGAAATAATATTTGAAAAAATAATGGTTGATAATTTTCCAACCATTCATTTCCAAGTAACAAAAATCTTCATGCTACAGAGTCAAGAAAAACTAATGAACCTCAAGCAGAATAAATACAAAGAAACCATAACTAGGCACATCATTGTAAAACCGCTGAAAACCAAAACAGAGAAATATTTTGAAAGCAAGCAGATTTAAGAAGGAGACAGAGATTACTTCAAAAGGCGCTACAAATCTCTTAAAGATATCTAGACAAAATGGAATATGTTACCAATAGACCTATACTACAGAAAATATTAAAGTGTGTTCAAGTCAAAAGAAAGTGACCCCAGACAAAAGAAGATCTAAGAGCAACAGAAAGAATAAATGTGCAGCTAGAACTAAATGAATACTGTCTATATAAAATACCTTATATAAAGTTTAAAATGTAGGTAAAATTAAAATATATGACAGCAGCAAATAAATTAGGAGGAAGTAATATGGAATTAGAATGTCCTAAAGTCACTGCACTGTTAGAGAGAAGATTAATAATTTGTTTAGGCTTTGACAAGTCAAGGAGTCATGTTGTAATCTCTATGGTAACCACCATAAGAACATTAAAGAATGACCACCAAGATAGAGGGGAAAATTGAATAATTTTTTTTTTTTTTTTAAAGCCAATTCAAGGCCGGGCGCGGTGGCTCACGCCTGTAATCCTAGCTCTCTGGGAGGCTGAGGCAGGCGGATTGCTCGAGGTCAGGAGTTCAAAACCAGCCTGAGCAAGAGTGAGACCCTGTCTCTACTATAAATAGAAAGAAATTAATTGGCCAACTAATATATATAGAAAAAATTAGCCGGGCATGGTGGCGCATGCCTGTAGTCCCAGCTACTTGGGAGGCTGAGGCAGAAGGATTGCTTGAGCCCAGGAGTTTGAGGTTGCTGTGAGCTAGGCTGATGCCACGGCACTCACTCTAGCCTGGGCAACAAAGCGAGACACTGTCTCAAAAATAAATAAATAAATAAATAAATAAATCAATAAAAAGCCAATTCAAGCAAACACAAGAAAAAAAAGGGAAAGGAGTATAAAGAAATAGGAAGAAAATATATTTAAATCCAATTTAACAGGTAGTTATATTGACATATGCAAACTAAGGAAGAATGTCAGACTAGAAAATCTGAGGATAAATCATTTATAAACTAGTTTTTAAAATATTTCTACTAATTATAGAAAAAGAAATATTTTTAACTAAGTGAAATATTTAGGCTTAAAAAAAACTCTTGATTATGAAAATTAACTATGTCACACTTTTCTGAAAAGTTTAAAGTCAGGTTTCCGCCAAGCTGTTTTAGAGTCTGTCCTCCACCCCACCTCCCCAAAAAACCTTAAGAACATAATAGGAAGTTAAGGATCTCATCTAGGTCTGTGACTTTCTAGACGTTAGAAAGTCTAGAGATACCATGGAATCCAACCATGGCTCTAATACTAATCAGTCTATCTTTGGGCAAGTTACTTTATTTTATTGAACTTAGTTGCTATCCCCATTTTACAGATGAGAAAGCTATCGCAAAAGTTAAATACAAGGAAATAATGCAGGTAAAGCACTTAGCCCAAGTTTGGCACTTAATGAAATCTTAATCGCATTTATCTATTAAATTACCACATTCTTACTACACACAGGTATGTGAGGAAAAACATACGTCATATACAAATAACACGTAAGGCAATTTAAAGTAGTGAATCCCTTCTTTCCTCCCCAAAAAAGCAAACTAAAGTTTATGCTCTCATTTCTTTTTCTAAAACATACAATTTCAAACATATAGAAAGTCTAACACTCCTATACCAATATCCAATTCTATATTTAACAAAATATTGTAAGTGTTCCATGTGCTTACCTGACATTGGATTGCTTCTACTCGATAAGGGTTAAAACTCTTTTGGCATTTGCAACAGAGTTGTTTGAAATAAACCTAAAGAGAAATTTGGTTGGTTTGTTTTTGTGTGTGTGTATTGTTTGTTTGTTTGTTTTTAAACAAGCTTTTATACACACACACCCTTCCCAGGCTCCCAGTTCTTAAGTAATTCATTTCCTTACCTTGTCCTTGCTTTTACCCAACCTCTACCCTCAAGGATTTAAACTCGGCTAGTACTATCAGTCACTCTTTCTTACTCTTGAACCTAATTTTCTTTACCTGTAAAATTGGGATACTACTACTTACTTTTTCTATAGTTCTGACAATTCTCCAATAACATACATAAAGTACCATAGAAGATATTCATGGGAAGCAGCTGTTAATATTTCACAATGTGTGGGCCAAACCCTTGGTATTCTCCTTTTGTCTTGGTCTAATAGCCCTTACACATTAAGGGAGTATTTTTTTTTCTTATACAAAGCCATAAGGAAAGAAGGATCTGGCTTTTTCTGCCCCCCCCCAAAAAAAACAGTATGTCCCCACTTAAATTTTACATTACTTGTACCCATCAATAGCATGCTTTCTAGGCTTTGTGCAATTTCCTATGCACATTTCCCCCGTGCCTTTCTTGGTGAACTCCTCCTCCTATTCATTCTTTAAAATCATGATGCCTTCCCTCAGCCAGGGTTAATCACCCCCCCCACCCCCGTGATACTTCTGTACCACTTGATACCATGGCTGCTATCACGTACACCGCCAAATTGCATTTTGTCTCCATCTCTCCTATGAAATGAATTCCTTGACAACCAGTTCTATGTCTTGTTCTTTGTATCCTAGTGCCTTGCAATTGTTTTTCTTCTAGCAAGAGAAGGGAAGTAATTTAACTTTAAAAAACTATTCACCTTCTGGGCCTAGTAAATGGCTAGTCTGAAAAGTCAAGTTTTCATTCAAGTCTTAGCAGGCCTCTTTGCCCTCTCCCTCCACCGTGCTTTAGTCTGTGGCAGTATCTAAACATGCAACAGCACAGGGGACTCAAATTTAAATGTTTTTAGAAGTTAATGAAATAGGCCCTGTGTAGACCGTTCTGCGGTCTCCTGTTTTCATTCTGAAATGGGGGTCTATAATGACCAGATGCTATGGTGGTTCATGAAAATCCAGAAATGGAGAATTTAATATGAAGTCTTTCCCAATCTTAATATGTTGAAAATTAACTCAAATTGCTCTGTGGGGGGAGGGGAGTGGAGACTTACGCTTAGCCTAAGTAAATCTCCAATTATTTCACTTATTGCCCCACCTTGTGGACAAACAGTGGAAATTTCCTAGAGCTAAGGCCCCAAACTGTTCAAAATCTACCAGCTAAAAAATGGTAGATTTTGAACAACTACAGAAAGTTCAAATGTAGATAAGAACAAAAGTTCACCTAAGTAAGCTGACATTTTGTCAAATATAATGCCAGGTTACGGTTCGGGAACTCAAGTGGACGATCCAATTCAGGTCAGGTCAAACATTCATTAAGCACTTACGGCATGCCTGTTACTGAGGCTGCCAAGATGAGCAAAACAGGGTTGGGACAATCATACTCCATCAGGAAACAAATTCTTCCCCTATTTAACACCTGTGCCCACCCATCCTCACTTTTACTTACCTTACATCCCACTCACTTTTACTTACCTTATTAGTTCCAGAAATGCACCACACATAAGCACTCTCCCACCTGGTCTTACAATCTTTACAGTGAAAATAGCCATATTTTGGTTCCAAAAACTGAAAATAAGGGGAGAAAGTCTTTTATCATCTTGGAGGGGAAAAGCAAGATTCTTCTTTCCTTATGACTTTGTATAAGGAAAAAAAAATTACTCCCTTAGCCTCACAACCTCACAAATCTATTAAGGCTACTGCATTACTTTAGTTTCTCCTCTCTTAAAGATTACTTTAGAGATTCTTTTTGCTGCTGGCTCTCATACTTTTCCAAGCCATTTTCCAAATGCACCAGCACCATCTCCCCAAAATGAAAGTCTGATTTCATATGTCACAGACTTGAAACCCTTCTGTCTGCTCAATCCCGATGGCAATGGTTACCAGACCTTTGGTTTTCACCAGCTTTGTTAGGGGCTTACCAAAACTTTACCAAAAAGTTACAAAATATACAAGCCCACGTAAAATGCAAGCTTTCAGAACTCCCCCCTCCTTCACCAAATAAGCTCCAGAAATGGAACAGGGGAGAGAGAGGTTGGGGTTGGCAGAGAACCAAGAAGAGGGAAGAGAAAGTCCACCTGGAAGTTGGGCTTCCGGAGCGGATTGGCGCCTGCGACTCCACGCACCTGTCTGCTCTTCCTTTCCTGAAGGCGGGGGGCATCTTCCTCCCCCAGCTCATCGGGCTGTCCCGGCTCCTCCTGCCTGTCATCTTCTGACCTTGGCGTTGGTGGCTGCTGCTGGCTGGCCTGGGCAGGACCCGGATGCTCCTTGTTGTCCCCATCTTCCCGCAGCCGGATCAAGCCCCTGCTGCCCGGGACAGGGGAGTAGACTCCGCAGGCCGGCGGGGGCTCCCTCGGGCCGGTGCAGTCCCAGGAGGAGCGGCTGCGCAGGGTGCGGGGCCCCAGCGAGCACTGCACGGACTTGTCCACCCGCGGGCTCACCTGCACGCCCACCTCCTTGGTGTTGGCCTTGCACAGCCGCGGGCTCAGGCTAGGGTTCATCTGGGAGAGAATGGCCTTAAGCTGCGCCCTCTTGTAAGGGTCCATGCAGTAGTCAGAGGCATTCGCGGGCACCAGCAGCCCTGGCCTAGCCAGGAAGGTGGGGGGACCCATATTTTGCCTCCAGTCGGGCTGTTTGTGCCCTGGGAGTCCAGGCTGACCCAAAGGCAGTGTGTTCCCATACCCCTGGTAAAAGCCATAGGGAACGCGCACAAAGCGCTCCATCCTCACCAGGTGCTCAGGCACAGCCCACCCTCCTAGTGCGGTTTGTCTGTGTCCTTGTTTTGCCTTCCACCTTCATCCACCCCTTCTTTCTCCTGATCAAGTTGGCTCAAATTCCTCCGTGGCTTCTCCATTTATTTCAGATTCTAAGGGGAGCTGCTGCTACCCATTTCCCTAATTGAAGGAGGGAAGATCTACCTGTCTACGGAGGTCTAATTGCCACCTGATTCCTAATTGCTTTTCCCTGCCTCTTCAACTCGCTGTTCCTGAATCTTTTTTTCAAAGCTGTTTTTCATTTCCAAGTTATTCACACATATGCTTTAATGAGTAATTCATTCATTTATTCCTCTAATAACCATTTGAGATAGCCCTTGTACATTGCTGGTGGGAATGCAATCCCAGCACTTTGGAAGGCAAAGTGAGAGGTTCGCTCAGGAGTTAGGCCAGCCTGGGCAACATAGCAAGACTCTGTCTCTAAAAAAAAAAAAAATTTTTTTTTATATAAGATTATAGGACTAGCATATGATCCAGCAATGCCACTACTGGTTGTATAACCAAGGAAATGAAACCAATATTCCAGATAGTTATCTGCACTCCCATGTTCATTACAGTGTTCTTCACATAGACAAGTTACAGAAACAACCTAAGTCTATGGTGACAGATAAATGGATAAAGAAATTGGGGGGGGGGAGTTGTGTGTGTGTGTGTGTGTATATGTGTAATGGAATATTATTCAGCCTTTAAAAAGGAGATCCTGTCATTTGCAACATGGATAAAACTGGAGGACATTATGCTAAGTGAAATAAGCAGGATAGAAAAATGCTACATGATCTCACTTATACATGGCATCTAAACAAGTCAAATATTTAGGTCATTACATATGAAATGTCTGATTTTGAATCAAAAGTGTAGTTTATTATATCTCAAACAAGAAACAGTACAATTAATCAAAGTATGCAACTAAACTATCGACAGTATTGGCATCTTAATGGTAGCATGCTATGCCAACAGCAAAGAAGCCTGGAGAGTGAGTGGCAATGAAATCCCAAAAGGTGTTTTCCACATCTTGTTGAGAATTGAATATTTTTCCTTGCAAGAAGTGGTCCAAAGTCTGGAAGAAGTGGTAATCAGTTGGTGCAAGGTCTGGTGAATACGGTGGAAGAGAGTGAGTTCCCATGTCCAACTTCTGTAGTTTGAGCAGCGTTATTTTTTGCAACATGTGGTTTTGCAAGAGGATTGGCCTGTCTCTCTTGACCAATCACAGCTGCTTAATCACAAGCATCCTCATCATTTCATCCAATTGGTTGCAGTAGACATCCGCTGTAATAGACTGACAAGGTTTCATGAAGCTCTACTGGATAATACCAGTGCCGGAGCGCCAAACAGACACCATTAGCTTTTTTAATGAATATTTGGTTTTGGACTGTTTTGGCACTTCCTCTTTATCCAACTATTGTGCTGAATTCTTGCGATTGTCACAAAGAATCCATTTTTCATCATATGTAACAATATGATATAGAAATGGTTAACCTTTACATCGGGACAGCAAAGAAAGGCAAGCTTTGATACAATTTGTCTTCTGATGCTCACTTAATTCTTGGGGTACCCATCTACACAGCTTATCTTGCCCATTTGTTTCAAGTGGTCCAATATTGTTGGAATAGTAATGTCAAACCTTGCTGCTAATTGACACATAGGTTGAGATGGATTTGCTTCCATTACAGCTTTCGGCTCATCATTATGCACCTTGATCACAGGTCACCCACGTGGCTCATTTTCAAGATTAAAATCACCAAAACGAAATTTCTCAAACCATCACTGTACTGTGAGTTCCTTAGCCACATACTTCCCAAACACTTCTTTGATATTTCAAGCTGTCTGTGCTGCATTTGGTTCCACAAATGGAACTCATACTCAAAATTTTTGACTCATCCATGGTTTCACAAAAATTGCTCTAAACATTTTTTTGAAAGATAATCATAGGCCAAAACATGCATTTGAAAGAATGAGGATATACCTTCACAATAAAATAATAATAATAATAAAACAAGAAGTGTCCAAGTGAAACGTCAGAGATATCAACCGTCAAATTTAGTACTTAAGAGAGTAGAATGCTAGTTACCAGGGGCAGGGAGGTGGGGGAAATGGGGAGCTCTTGGTCAGAAGGTATAAAGTTGCAGTTATGTAGGATGAATAAATCTAGAGATCTAATGTACAGCATGATGACTATAATTAATAGTATATATATATATTTTTAGGCCTATTCCTGACTTGAGAATAATAGTATATTTTATACTAGAAATTAATATACTGGAAATGCTAAGAAATTTGTGCTCTCATCACACACAAAAGGTGACTATGTGACGAGATGGATATGGCAATTGCTTTACTGTGGTAATCACTTCACTATGTCTATCAAAGTATGTTGCACACATTAATATATATTACACAATTTTAATTTAATCTTTTTAAATATATAAAAAATAAAGCATATAGTAAATTGAATACAAATAGTAAATTATTTGAGCAGCCACATTAGAAGAGTATAAGAAAGAAAGTATATTATGGCAGAGCTCATGAATAAAGTCCCTGGTACCAAGAGAGCAAAGAACATAAAGTTATAAGGGGGGGGTGTATACAATGAGAGAAAATATATTTCAGAGAGTTGTGTGACATGCCAAAGGTTCTCATTAGTCCACTCCTAGTGAGACAAACCTTTCCCCCCAGCCCTACCTCCATTTAGAGGATAAATGCAGATTTAATCACAGTATATTTAAATATATGAAGTCAAGTGACTTGAATTCAAACCTGGGCCTTGTTACCAGGCACGTTACTTAACTACTTGTGTCAGTTTCCCCAATTTATAGAATTACTTTAAAATTAAACATGATATTAACTGAAAGACCAAAGCAGAATGCCAAACTCATAAAACGTTCAGTAAGAAGTAGCTATTATTAGTAAGGATCACAGACGTGTGTTCCTTTGTTAATTAGACCTCCAAAAGCTCTAGAATCTATCTGCATTAGTAAGGTCTCCTGCTACAACTAAAGATTACTGATTATCAAATTAAAATGATCCCTAAAGAACCAAATGGGGCCCACCCGTTTTCTAAGTCAAGGTTGTTTCTGCTGTTTACTGCTCCAGTACTTTCGGGAAGCAGCAAGGCCCATGAGCAGCTCTCACCTCCTGAATCCAGCTGAAGGCTTTCTAAGTCTTACAACAAACCAGAATTAAGCCTTGTACTAGACATGTCACATGCCTGTGAATTCAAAGATGAGGTCAGGTCTTCCAGGGCACTTTGTGGGGAAGACCGGCACCCAACACAGCGATCTGTACCTTAAGAATGTTAAAGATTCTGCTGAAGCCTGCAGAGGGATGTAGCTAACACTGCATGAGCGAGTTAACAGGGGCTTCACAATCTTGCAAGCGAGGGACGGGGCTCAGAGAGGATCCTGAACACCCGCTACCCAAGAGCAGCCCCTCCTACTAGAACTAAGGTCCTAAGGTCCTCAGACTTCAAACAGCCCCACCCACTACCACGCAGTCGGGAAAGGAGGCATCCACAACCACAGACCAGTTTAGGCTTGTCTAAAATCGACGCACTCTGGGGGCCAGGCCTCGAGGGGGCACCGTCTCTAAGGTCAGAACGAAGCCTCTCAAAGGTCCCACGTCGTGCCCGAGGGCGCCACCCAACCCAAACAGGAAAGGGAGGTGGGACTTGGAATAGACACAGAGGGCGGACCTCCTCCAAGCAGGGCGGTCGGGCATTCTGAAGGGACAAGAAGACAACACGCACTCCAGCTCCTGCTTTACTCGGTCCGCGAATAACTGTCACGGATCCAGCAGGGAACTCCCTTTTGCCACTCCGGGCAGAAGAGGCGGCGGTGGGGCAGGCGCCGGACCAACTTCCGGCGGCGCGTACGCTGCGCGCCGCGTCACGGCGTCACGTGGCCAGAGAGGGCTTTTGGCGCGAGCGTCTGAAACCAGGCGGCAGAGGCGGGGCTGCTGGGGCGCTGCGCCTTGGTGCTGGCCTGACGCAGGGGGTCGTCGCGGGAAAGCCTGAGGGGTCAGATTGTGATTTAAGTGATCGCGCGGTTTTTGTCAGCCTACTCTGGCAAAAAAAAAAAGAGCTGCTGCCGTTCTGGAGCGGGTTAGTTGTGGCTGGGGTGGAGACGGGCGTGTTTTCCGCGGTCCCAGTCGTCCGGGATGGCGGGGGTCGCCTCTCGCGCCCTGGGTCGGAGCGCGGCTTCTGGCCGGTTTGTCTCTTCCAAACCCCCACTCTTGCCTGAGAGAAAAGTCCGTGTCTCGAAGGCAAATTCCCCCAAAGCAGATTCGGGCCCCGCCCCTTTCCTGGAACTTCATTTCCCGGCTGCGGTCCCGGCCTTTGGGCCCCTCCAGCCGCTGAGGGTTTGCCTCACTGCTTTCTAGCTGCGCCAGGTGTTCCCGTATGAAATTTCTTTAATTGGAAACTTGGTGGCATTACTGGAACGGAATATTGCTATTTTGGAAAATGTTTTGCAGATTCTGGGCACAGTGTATGTGCCAACCCCCAGGTAATTGCTCTATTCTGAGGATTTTCTGACTGGGAATTATCAAACAAGGTGTTTTTCTCTAGCTGGAACCGTCTATAAATGCGCAGCCAAAAAGCCACCACGCTTGACTAGTTAACTTGGTTAAAACTAAATGATACTAAAACTTCTGTTCTTGAGTTACACTAGGCACGTTTCAAGTGCTTAACGTGGCTAGTGGCAACTGTATTGGACAGCACAATTATAGAATGTTCCCATCCTGTGTTCTGTTACTGTCCCAAAATATGGGACTGAGGTAGAGAGTAACTTTAGGCAGGCTTACCAGCGCTTCTTATTTTTTACCTCAGAGTCACTTAACAAGGAATGCATCGCTATGAAGTGTATTTTGATTTTCTCTTTTGCAGACTTACGTACCAGGCATTGGAGTGATATTGTAGATTAAAATGCCTGTTGGATCCAAAGAGAGGCCGACTTTTTTTGACATTTTTAGGACGCGATGCAACAAAGCAGGTATTGATACGTATTATATAACTTGACAAAACGTTATACCGAGAAAATGTTTTCTGAAAATAAATTTGCATGCTTGCTAAATAGAATCCAATACTACTCAGTTTTATTTATATGATACGCTGTTCCTTATGGAGTCATAAATCCAATTAAGAACATAATCGTTTATAGGTTAACCAGATAATTAACATAGAACCCCCAGTGGATAAAGTGGACACTGGTCCCTTGATTAGCTGTAGTAGAATTGTTTTTAAAGTACTACTGAAAAATCAAAAGCATTGATAATGTTACTTTATGGCAGAAGTTGTCAAACATTTTGGCCTCAGTACTCCTCACACTCTTAAAAATGATAGAGTACCCGCGAAGAGCTTGTTTATATGGCTTAGCATATTATAAATTAAAACTAAGAACTTAAAAAAAATTAAAGTAACAAAAACCCATTGCACATTACTATAGATAATATATTTTTATGAAAAATAACTATTTTCAACAAAATATACAAATATTTTCAATTAAAATCAAGGTGTTGGCAGAAAAAAGAAAAACCATTTTTAACAAAAAAACAGAAGAATGAAATAGGGTCTTTTTTAAAACAGTTTTGCAGTTCTCTTTAATGTCTGTCTTAATGGAAGATAGCTAGATTCTCATCTGTCTGCATTTAATCTGTTGCGGTGTGTTGTTTTGGTAGAAGTATGTGAAGAAAATCCAACCTCATATAGCTAGGTAGTTGGAAAAAGGAGTATTTTAATAGTCTTCAGTTACTTGTGGATATTTTTCATTATTAGCCTGTCTTGTACTTTGAATAGATCTTTCAACAATCAAATATACATATCAATAGATCTTTCCATGTTGTAACATCATGCAATGATCATTTGGAAAATACTGGTGTTCTCAATTACATAGATATTCCGAATATTGACATGTTTCATTAAACAGTACTTTAAAAAATCACATTCATTACTTTCACTACAGATTTCATCAGAAAGGTCTTTTAAGATTGAGAAGTCAGCTACTGCGAGCCACTGAAATTCTAATTTTCATTTGAAGGCTCACATTTTATCATTGGCAATAAACTCTGTTGTTTTCCTTGTAGTAACAAGCTCACTTTGTTTGTTTGCGAGAAAATGTCCACCAAATTGTCCAAGTTGGAGTAACTTTGTTTGTCCACAAGCTGTTCTTTCAAGTAAAAATGGCTTTTCATGAAAACAGCTATAATTCAGTTTACAGCTCATCATGGGTGTTTTTCTAGACTACTATTGTACATCAGCACACAGAAGTGCTTTATGCATACTTGCCATGTTGTCAGAGAATATTAAAAAGATGTGTTCAAGTTATCAAGCTTTACTAAAATTAATTTTTACTGCCTCATTAGGACATTCTTAATTTAACTGACATTACTATTTTTGTTAGCAAGGGCATGGTGGTAAGGAATATAATGGCTGCTAGTACAGTTTGGTGCCACTGCCTTAACTCATGCAAATACACCAGCAATTTTACTCACCATTATCTTTGCACCACAGTACAAATGTCTACATCATGAAAAAGGCAAATGATGCCATAGAGTTATTATGAAAATAGACTTTTTGAACTTCATAAAAGGGTCATGAGAACTGAGAACTCCTACTACGTGGGATGGATAGATCATAATAGAAATTTTGTCATTTCCCTTTGAAAGAGAATCTCCTTTTTACCATTTTATTTGAGAGTCTACATGTTTCTTTTTTTTGAGACAGAGTCTTGCCCTGTTGCCCAGGCTAGAGTGCCATGACATAAGCCTAGCTCACTGCAACCTCATACCCCTGGGCTCAAGCGATCCTTCTGCCTCACCTTCCCCAGTAGCTGGGACTACAGGCATGCACCACCATGCCCAGCTAATTTTTTCTGTTTTTAGTTGCCCAGCTAATGTCTTTCTATTTCTTTTTAGTAGAGACAGCGTCTCACTCTTGCTGATGCTGAACTCATGCCTCAGCCTCCTAGAGTGCTAGTGTGTGAGCCACCACACCCAGCCTGCATGTTTCTTATACCCTTAAATTTGCCACATACACTTAATGTAGTCTTCATAATTATTTGAGTTTTATCTATGAAATGCATTCCTACTGTAAATGGTTTTTTATTTTTGAATTGTGAATAATAGGATAGAAAATAAAAATTAAAAATAAATAAAAAGCTAATATAGCTAAGGACTATATTATCACTTTTGCAAATCGTTCTACCTTGCTACAGATTGATAAGATCATGAGATTAGTGATCTTGCTTAGTTGATATGCCTTAACAAAAATAATCCACAGTCAAAATCTCAAGTATCCTTTTATTCCTGTGATCTTTAACTGTTAATACTTTACTGGCTCATAAATTTTTCTGTGTCATTGGTTAAAACAAAAGTGAGATTTTTATTTTTTTTAATAGATTTAGGACCAATAAGTCTTAATTGGTTTGATGAACTTTCTTCAGAAGCTCCACCTTATAATTCTGAACCTGCAGAAGAATCTGAGTATAAAATCAGCAGTTACGAACCACACCTATTTAAAACACCACAGAGGAAACCCTCTTATCGTCAATTGGCTTCAACTCCAATAATATTCAAAGAGCAAGGTCCAACTCTGTCACTGTACCAATCTCCTGTAAAAGAATTAGATAAATGCAGATTAGACTTAGGTAAGTAATATGATGTGGTATACTGGGGAAGGATACAAACGAGAAATTCAGGCAAATGTTAAAATATCAACTGTTTCATTAACTAATTGTGTGATGTTGGGTAAATCAATCTCTCTGGCTTCACTTTCCTCACATGAAAAATGGAGATGATGAAAATAACACCTAATAGGTTTGGAATAATGAAGTAATATAGGTAAATAATGTTCCTTTTCCTCTCTCCTTTGATTAATACATTTTGCCAACAGCTTGGCTGAATCATCTCTTATACCAAAAACTTAGAACTTGTTTTCATGTTAAATTAAACTATATTTCTATAGGCTCTCACAGAGGGCAGAGAATATTTTTATTAATTTGCTATAAATATCTTGATTTGGTAGCAGTTTCCCTGGCCCAGGTGCCACATATTTCTAAGCAATTATGTAGTAAGATTATACATTCAGTCATTAACATATTTATTATCTACTTGACATAGGTAACATACTCTTGAAAGGTTTTTACCAATAGAGTGATATGTTCAGATTTGGTACGTTGGTAGGCTTTCAGTAAATGTCTTTTCCCTTACTCTTTTCCTTCACCATACCATAGTACTGTGCGTGACTTGATAGAACATAACACATTCTATGTGTGTATAATTTTTTAAAATTTCCCCTACTAGATTATGAACTCTGAGGTTAAAGTTTTATCTGGAATTGAAGCACCCAAAGGATTTTATGCATATTATATGCTTAATATAGTTGGGGGTTGGGGAGACATCCCTTTTTGGGGGGAATCAGCAAACTGAAAAACCTTTTCAGAATGAACTCCCTATTCTTTCTCCTTCATGATATAGATGAGACTTTTTGTTTTTAACTAGTTCCAGAGAATAAAAATTTATAATGCAAAATATATATATCCTCACTGAATTATTGTACTGTTTCAGGAAATAATGTTGCCAATAGTAAGCATAAAAGTCGTCATACAGTGAAGGCTAAAATGGATCAAGCAGATGCTGTTACCAGCCCACTTCTAAATTCTTGTCTTAGTGAAAGGTATGATGAAGCTGTTATATTAAAATATTTAAATGAAACATTTTCCTACATATATTTGTTTTATGGAGATGAACTTAATTTTCATGCTAATATTTTGGCTGAGAGCCTGAGATCTTCTATAGAAGATCTTACTTAAGTCTTTAGGTTGAGTCCTTTAATAGAATAATTTTTATATCAGAAACATAAAAGTTGTTTTTCTTATAATATTGAATTGGCTGGTTTTTTATATTCTGTGACTTTTTAAGTAACAAAAATAATAATGATGAAAAGCAGCAAGTCCTTGAAATACTATCTTAAGATAAGTTATTTATGTACTTTGAGTCTTTGGAGAGAATATGATGCTATTATAGATTACATAATTTTTAAGTTTAAAATATACAATTCCTAGAAACTGCAATTTGTGAGTACTTTATTGCTTTCTTTGGGCATGTTAAACATCACTTAGTGGATACTTAATTCTTCATGAGAGATTTACATTTAAAACATAATATAAAAATATTAAAAAGTAGTATTCTAACAATTGGCATGATTCTTTTTTTAAAAAATTATGTTTTATCTCTTTTGCAATTTCTGTTACTTTTTTAATAACTGGAGGGATTTGTTTTGTTTTAGTCCTGTTCTACAGTGTGCACACATAACACCACAAAGAGAAAAGTCAGGTAAGATTAAAAACAAGGCTTTTTATTCTTAGAATACTAGAATACGTTAATAAAAATAAAATTTAATAATTTTCCTCTTTTTTACCCCCAGCGGTATGTGGAACTTTATTTCATACACCAAAGTTTGTGAAGGTAAAATATTCTGCCTGGTTTATTTTTATGATGTTGTAATTGGGAATTTGACAATGATATCAGCCTTTGCTCTGAGAATTACAGATCTGTATGTAGCATTCTGCCTCACACTGACATTTAGTAAATGATAAATGAAAAAAAGAATGAATGAAAAAATTTTCCTAATCATTCCTTTCTCTGAAATAAATATTGTCTTTCTTTCCAGGGTCAGACACAAAAACATATTTCTGAAAGTCTGGGTGCTGAAGTGGATCCTGATATGTCTTGGTCAAGTTCTTTAGCCACACCACCCACGCTTAGTTCTACTGTGCTCATAGGTAATACAAGCAAATGCATATCATATAAGAAAATGTAGATGAGGTTGATCAGTTGTCATCTCTAATGTTTCTGTTAAAAGGAAAACATGAAAAGAAAATATTAGATAATATTGTCGTTATGTGTGTTAGTAATTCAGAATAATTCTATTTAGTATACATTGGGATAAATTACAAATACATTAAGTGGTATTCTGTAGGTGTTAAGCATTATATTTTAGTGCTTGTCATTAATCTAGAATAGTTTCACAAATACTCATTTACCTATACATATAAGCATTTAAGAGCCGGTATTTGGTGTAACTGAATATGTTACAGATCATTTTGATACCTTGGGCATCAAAGCAGCATTAAATAAGCTTTTGTTCTCTGCTTAAATTTGTTCTGTGGGTCTGTATTGCCAGTAGTTCAAATTGAGATCTTAAATTTCACAAGTGTAGTTATACAACTATGGGATTAACTGGAATGTTTAATTTATCATCCATTGGACTGTATGCTCTTTGCTGGCTCACCAGTTTCTCTTACAACAATAAACATAAAGTTAAATATCTGTAAATAAATGTGATTAAGTACAGTGTGGATAAGTATTAATATCTGGAAGTTGATCTAAATAAATATGTCACAATTTATAGGTAAAACATGAAAATTGGATAATAAAGGAGAAAAAAGTAAATATTCGCCAACAACATTGTTCTTTTTTAGAAGATACTGGGTTAGATCATTGTTTCTCAAATTGCAGATCATGACCCATTAATAGTTGTGAGATTTATGAGTCATACACATTTTTTTAATGGAATAAAAAGAATAGAAAAATCTGAATGCATCACATGTAGTTAGGGTTGCCAGATTTAGAAAGTGAAAATACAGTGCATCTGGTTAAATTTGAATTTTAGATAAATGATATTATTTCTTGGGACATACTTACACTAAAAAATTATTCATTGTTTATCTGCAATTCAGATTTAATGAGATGTCCTGTATTTTATCCAGCAGTCCTACACATAGTTAAGTTTGTTTTGTGAAACTTTTTTACTTTGTTATGTATGTTTGAGAATACAGAGTCATTAAGTATATGTGTTAGTGTAGGTTGTATTCAAAGCTTGAGTTTAAAGTATACCCAAGCCAGGCTTTTATTTTGTTTACTCTAGCAAAGTAACATTCCATTTTGATTCCTGTTTAGCTGGGAGTAATTTTACTTTCTTCTTTTATTGCTTAGATGAAATAATATGGTTAAAAACCATTTTGAAAAGTAAGAAGTGTTTAACATACAGTGTGCCTTTAGGCTGTATTATTGTCTAAATAAATGCTAAAGTCTCCAAGCTTTAGCATTTAAGTCATGTCCTCACAGCTTGATCCAATTTTCCGAAGTAATTATGGACAGTATTGTCATAAAGTCAGAATCACCAAACCATAGTTTCTTACCACTTTGTGAGTAGTACTAAGGAAGTGAGTATAGCTTATTCACTATGTTAATTGACCTTTCTAATTACTGTACTTACATCAATTCATTTTGTTTCAAATGTATCATTTAATCAAATTGTATTTGTGCTTTTTCATGTCTGATTAAAAAATACATAAGTTTTTGCATTAATTTTAATGTATAATATATATTACAGTATAGGTAAATTGAATTTTTATTTTACAGTCAGAGGTGAGGATGCATCTGAAATTGTATTTCCTAATGATACTACTCCTGTAAGTAAATATGATAAATTAATTATACAGTTGAATTGCTTATAATTTTGGAATTCCTTGATGATTTTTTTTTTTTTTTTTGAGACAGAGTCTCACTCTGTCACTTGGGCTAGATTGTCATGGCATCAGCCCCGCTCACAGCAACCTGGGACTCCTGAGCTCAGGTGATCCTTCTGCCTCAGCTACCAAGTAGCTGGGACTACAGGCCCACACCACCACACCTGGCTAATTTTTCAACTTTTGGTAGAGCTGAGGTCTTGCTCTCATTCAGGCTGGTCTTGAACTCCTGGCCTCAAGCGATCCTCACCCCTCAGTCTCCCAAAGTGCTAAGATTACAGACATGAGCCACCATGCCCGGCCTTAATGAATTATTTTGAATTTCTTAATGAATTAAGAATGAATTATTTTGCATTTCTATTCCCTAATATATAATTTCTCTGAGCTTTTGAGAAAGTCTCTAAATGTGATCCTGTATGTGATTTTCCTTGATTTCCTATGACACTCTGCTATCTCTCTAAGTTGCATTTGTATAGCAATCCCCTCATATTCGTGGAGGATGCATTCTGAGACCCCCATGAATGCCGAAACCTAGGATAGTACCAAATTCTAGATATATGTTTTTTTCTACACATATCTATTTGAAGTTTAATTTATAAATTAGGAACAATAAGAGATTAACAATAGTAACTACTAATAAAACAATTATAACAACATACTGTACTGAGTTATGGGAATGCGCATGCACTCTCAAAATATCTTATCGTACTGTACTCATGGGGCAGCAGCTTCTTCATCAGCAGACTCTGCCGCCAGTAATTTTTACAATTTTCCATCCAAACCTATTTCTGCATTCATGTACCCTAGGCTTATTTGCAGTGAATGACTTAGTGTCACTTATTTCAGGAGATCCCTTGCTGAAGTCATTCATATTGGCTCAGTGCTTTCTGGTACATGTTGCTATCAGTTAAAACACATTTTCTGTTCATGTCTTCCACCTACAAATTTAATGCCTTTATCTTAATGCTTATCACACAATGTGGTGTAACTTTTGCAGTTTGAGGTGCAACAGCAAAACTAGCATTAATTTGTTTTTCCACCTTCACAATTTCACAGATAGGAGAATTGTTCTTACCACAGATCTTAGTAACCTAAGCATATGATTTTTTTTTTTTCTTATTAAGTCAAGAACTTTCATCCTTTCACCTAAAAGAAGTACTTTATGGCTTCTCTTTGGCATGTTCGAATTGCCAGCATCACTACTCTTGCACTTTGGGGCCATTATTAAGTAAAATAAGAGTGACTTGAATGTAATCACTGCAGTACTGTGGCAGTAGATCCAATAACAAAGACAGCTACTAAGTGACTAACAAGCAATAGTGTATACAGCATGGATCTACTGAACAAAGGGATGATTCATGTCCCAGGTGGGATGGAGCAGAATGGTGCCAGATTTCATCACACTACTCAAAATGGCACATAATTTAAACCTTATAGTCCTTTATTTTTGAAATTTTCCATTTAATATTTTTGGACCTAGATTGAGGGCAGGTAACTAAAAGCTTAGAAAGTGAAACTGCAGACGAAGGGGGGACCTACTATATGTGTGTTGAGAGTGTTTATACTAGTGATTTTAAACTATAACTTTTGCAGGTTTTGAAAAGCTATTTTTCTAACCATGATGAAAGTCTGAAGAAAAATGATAAATCTATCCCTTCTGTGACAGACCATGGAAACAAAAATCAAAGGGAAGAGGGAAGTCATGGTAAGTCCTTCTGTTTAGTTGAACTACTATCTTTAATTGACATCATTGAAGGATTGCTCCTCTTTTCCTAGAGAGAAAACACATTGCTTGTACGTTCTTTACTGAGGTAGTGTTTTGTCTCAAGGCATTGAGAGTAGAAACTAACTTGAATTAGATGATAATATTTAAACATCATACTAAGACAGTACTTACTATTCAATATGTTGTTGTGACACAAAAGCAAAACAAAACCTATTGCTCAAAATTTTCCGGTAAAAATAAGATGTATAAGTAACTAAATGTTGAGATATATCACAATTTACTCAGGTCATTGAAATATTGAATTTTTCTTAGTATATATGTACGTCTGCATAAATGTGTAGGATTGGATGTCTGTGTCATGTATGTATGTATATACATACATAAAATTAGACTTTACTCTCAGTTTCAAGGACACAAAATTGGAACATCTGGTTTGATAGGTCTTAGAATATTAAATTGTCTATATAGTACAGTTAGGTGAGTTTTAATTGTGTAAAGCTGGTAAACAAAGATTATTAGGGATTGGAGTATAAATAAAAGGCAAATCAGAAGGACAGGAAAGGGTGACTAGCCAAAAAAAGTAGCTACCGTGTTTCTCCGAAAATAGACAGGGTCTTATATTTATTTTTCCTCAAGAAGACACCCTAGGGCTTATTTTCAGGGGATGTGTTATTTTCCCCTGAAAGCCTCAGCTTGCAGCACGCACAGGATGGCCGAGACCTAACACAGGGAGCCGACCTTGTTGGTGGGGCTACCTGCACCTTTCCAGTCACCTCTGGGAGAGTAGCTGTCACGATGAGGCAGATGAGAAAGGCTGCTCGTCATCTTTTTTTATTAATTTTATTTTTATCATATTATGGGGGTATAAATATTGTTACAGTTACATATATTGCCCCTGCCATTCCTCCCCCCTCCCCCTGCCTTACCAAAACATCAAGCGAGTCCTACCCCCAGGTGGTGCGCATGGCACCTATTTTGTAAGTATAAATTCTTCCCCTCCTCCCCCCTCCCATCTGCCCACCACCTGATAAAAGTTTGTTTTTAATTTTTTTTGATCTTTGGGTTACATTGTATATCTTTGCCTTTCCCTAGAAAGGGTTAGAGGTATTCCCTCCCCCCATACACAATGCTCGCCACAACCCTAAGATGTGTATCTCCCCCTCCCTCAAACTCTGGTGGGCACTATCACCATTTGAGCACCATAGTTTTAATCAGTACCAATTTGATGGCGAGTAGATGTGGAGCCCGCTTTCTTGATCTTGTGTCACCTCACTTTGGATAACAGGCTTAAGCTTAATGCAGGATAGCATAAACGGTGCTAGCTCACTGTCATTTCTTAGGCTGCTTGTCTTCTTTACCACTCTGCCACGAAATGCATGGGTTGTGCAGATACGCTGCATAGCCACACCCATCACTAGGTCTTATTTTCAGGGTAGGGCTTATATTGCGCAAATGCTTAGAAATCCTGCTAGGGCTTATTTTATGGGTAGGTCTTATTTTCGGAAACACGATAGCATGGAGAATAACCCTTTAAATGCTGAATATATGTTATTTAATGTATACCATATATACTGTTACTATGAGAAAAGTTGTGAGAATAATAGAAATTATATGGTTGTATTATAAAATGTTATTCATGTGCTTCTGTTTTAAATTTTAACAGGATTGGGGAAAATGTTAGGGAATTCATTTGATAAAGCAAATAGCTGCAAAGATCACTTTGGAAAGTCAATACCAAATGCCCTAGAAGATGAAGTCCATGAAGCAGTTGCAGATATTTCTGAAGAAGATAGTTTTTCATTATGTTTTTCTAAATATAGAACAGAAAATCTAAAAAAAATAAGAACTGGCAAGACTAGGAAGAAAGTTTTCCATGAAACAAAAACTGGTGAATATGAAGAACCTAAAAAACAATTGAAAGAAAAACACTCATTTGCATCTGAAATGAAACCAAAAAATAGTGATCCATTAGATTCAAATGTAGCAAAGCAGAAGCCCTTTGGGAATGGAAGTGACAAAATCTCCAAGGAAGTTTTAGAGTCTTCAGCCTGTGAATGGTCTCAGCTAACCCTCTCAGATAATTTAAGCAGAACCCAGATGGAGAAAATACCCCTACTGCATATTTCTTCTTGTGACCAAAACAATTCAGAAAAAGACCTAGTAGATTCAGAGAAAGAATATACCAATTTTATTACTTCAGAAAATTCTTTGCCACACATTTCTAGTCTACCAAAACCAGAGAAGATGTTAAATGTGGAAACAGTGGTAAATAAGGGTGATGAGTCTCATGAAGACTCCATTCTTGTGGTAAAGCAGGCAATATCCAGAATTCCTTCAATAGCTTCTCCATTTCAGGGTATTAAAAAGTCTATATTCAGGATAAGAGAATCACCTGAAAAGACTTTCAGTGCAGTTTTCTCGGGTAATATGACTGATCCAAACTTGAAAGAAAAATCAGGAACATCTGAAAGTCAATTGGAACTATATGCTATTTGCTCACAGAAAGAGGATTCTTTATGTCCGAGTTCAATTGATAAAAGCTGGCAAGCCACTATCACAGATACTTCTGTACCTTTGAAGAATGCAGGTTTAATATCCACTTTGAAAAAGAAAACCAAGAAGTTTATTTATGCTATAAATGATGAAACATCTTATCAAGGAAAAAAAATACAGAAAGACCAAAAATCAGAAATAACTAACTATTCAGCTCAATTTGAAGCAAATGTTTTTCAAGCTCCACGTACATTTACAAATGTTGATTCAGGTACCCTCTTTTTTTTTTTTTTTTGGCAAATAATGTATGTAGTTTTATGGATGGTGATTGCTTTCCTTCTGTAGTTTGTTTCTGGTTTGTTAAAATCTCTATATCATATTCAATTTCAGGCAGTATCTATATACGTTATTGCTTAAGCCTATGATTACCAATGTTTAGAATCATTTCATTCAAACCTGTTAGGTTGGTTTTCATAGTATATGTATAATCATCTTGAGACAGCTTTTCATTCATAAACATTAAGAGCTTGGTTACTTAATTCCTGCTTTAATTTTAAAAAATGTTATTATATGCAAATTGGACCACTCTGTAAGTATGTGGTGCTATATACTATGTACTTTCTCTAAAGCATGTAAAAAGAGAAACTAATTGCTAGCTAAACTTAATGTAAGCCGGTTCTAAAATAATGATTGTTTCTTGGTTACATAATTTTCTTAAATATTTTAGAGATTGCTTAGAGTTATGCTCCATTTCTGAGTCCCCAGAGTGTGCACAGTGAGACTTATTTTTTGTTTTAGCAACAGTTCACTTATCAAGAGATTAAACTGTATATTTAACTCACCCTAGTTTTGAGCCTAGGGCCTTGTAAAGCATATGTAACTTACATCTCTTTACCTTATTCACCATACCTGTGGGCACAGAAAACAAAAAGTACCATGTTTTCCTTAAATTAGAAAAGATCCTTTTGTTTTCAAAGTTTCTATTCTATTTTTGTAATAAAATACCATGGCCCCAAGGAAAATTTTTTTTTCATGGTATGGCAACCAATTTGTTAAAAAGGGATTTTATCTCCCTATGAGAAGATTTTAGTGGGTGCTAAATAGCTCAGTGAATAGTAGTAGGGTTGGTGGGACTGGATGGAGTACAGAAGAAGTGTTTGAGGTATGGGTTAAATTTTCAGAGAAAAATGTTTGATGCTCTGTGTATCAGAATTAATGCCAATGAAATAAGCTAATATATGATCGCTGATGAAATGTGATTAAGAACTTTGATTTGGGCTGGGCATGATTACAGGAATCACGCCTGTAATCCTAGCACTCTCGGAGGCCAGGGCGGGCGGATTGCTCGAGGTCAGGAGTTCGAAACCAGCCTGAGCAAGAGCGAGACCCCGTCTCTACTATAAATAGAAAGAAATTAATTGGCCAACTAATATATATAGAAAAAAAATTAGCTGGGCATGGTGGCACATGCCTGTAGTCCCAGCTACTTGGGAGGCTGAGGCAGTAGGATTGCTTAGCCCAGGAGTTTCAGGTTGCTGTGAACTAGGCTGATGCCATGATACTCACTCTAGCCTGGGCAACAAAGTGAGACTCTGTCTCAAAAAAATAAATAAATAAATAAAAAGAACTTTGATTTGTTAGTAGAAAATTCAGAGGGTCAAGAAAATTAACTGAATAAAGCAGTTTATCTCATTTGCCTTTATAATTGAGATTAGGTAATTTTGGGGGCCCTTCGTATATAGATGTTGTTTTAAAATTTTTTTTTTCAATATGAAAGAACTGAAGGAAATAGTTACTTTTCTAATCCCTTTTCTCTGCCCTTTCTATCTCCTACTACACCAATATTAGCAATGAATTTGTTCCCATTTCATTGTTTAATAAAAATTACTTTTAGGTGGGGCACAGTGGCTCACACCTATAATCCACCCACTTTGGGAGGCTAGGGAGGGAGGATTGTTTGAGCTCAGGAGTTTGAGCAAGAGTGAGACCCCGTCTCCACAAAAAATAGAAACAATTAGCTGAGCATCACGGCGGCACCTATAGTCTTAGCTACTCAGGAGGCTGAGACAGGAGGATTGCTTGAGTCCAGAAGTTTGAGATTGCAGTGAGCTATAATGATGCCACTGTACTCTATGTAGGACAACAGAATGAGACCCTGTCTCAAAAAAAAACCACATTAATTTTATTTATGGTAGCTAGCTCCCTCCTTGAACTAGATGCTAATTTTGATTGAGTTGATACATATTACCAAAAAAGTACTTAGCTTCTATTTATCTTTGGCTTAAAAATGTAGCAGCTTCAAAATAGAGAGTATTTAAGATTCTCTCTGATTTCTTAAATCTGACATTCACTTCTTTTCATGTAATTCCTGATTTAAACACTACCTTTCTAACTTAGTGAAAACAAGTGAATGTGATTGACAGTACCTTAACTTTATTTTGTCATTTTGTGCTTTTATGTTTAGGTTTGTTGCGTTCTTCTGTCAAAAGAAACTGTTTACAGAATAATTCTGAAGAACCGTCTTTGTCCTTAACCAGCTCTTTTGGGACAATTTTGGGGAAAGGTTCCAGTAATGAAAGCAGTTCTTCTAATAATACAATAATCTCTCAAGATCTTGGTTATAAAGAAGCAAAAATTAGTAAGGAAAAATTACAGTCATTTATAACCCCAGAAACTGATTGTCTGACATGTGATCCAAAAAATGAAGAAGTTTCAAACATAAAAGAAAAGGCCTTGTCTGCAGTATGTCAACCTGGAGTACAACATTCAGAAGTAGAATGTAGTAGTATTCACTTTCAATCCCAGGAAAGTCTTTTATATGACCACGATAATACCAGCACTCTTACTTTAACTTGTACCTCCAAGGATCCTCTGTCAAACCCAGTTGTGATTTCTAGAGGAAAAGAGTCATACGAAATGTCAGAAAAATTAAAATGTAAGAATTATAAAGCTGATTTTAAATTAACCAAAAATATTCCCATGGAAAAGAATCAAGGAGTATGTCTTTTAAATGAAAATTCTAAAAATGCTGAGCTGGTACCACCTGAAAAATACGTAACAATAGCATCACCTTCAACAAAGATGCAATTCAACCAAAATACAAATTTATCAATAATCCAAAAAGACCAAGAAGAAAATACTTTAATTTCAAAAATAACTTTCAATCCAAACTCTGAAGAACTTTTCCAAGACGAGAATAATTTTGTCTTTCAAGTAACTAATGAAAGGAATAATCCTGTTCTAGGAAATACTGAAGAACTTAATGAAGCAGACCTCGGTCATATAAAAGAGCTCATTCTCAAGAACTCTACGATGGTACTATATGCAGACATAGATGACAAACAAGCAGCCCAAGTGTTGATTACAAAAGATTTGGACTCATCAGATACAGTTTATGATTTTACAGAGGACAACAGAAACAGTGTAAAGCAGCATCTAAAAATGACTCTAGGTCAAGACGTAAAATCAGACATCTCCTTGGATATAGATAAGAAAGCAAACAAAAATGATTACATGGATGAATGGGTAGGACCCTTATATCCAGTTTCAAATCACACATTTGGAGGTAGCTTCAGAACAGCTTCAAATAAAGAAATAAAATTCTCTGAACATAACATTAAGAAAAGTAAATTGCTCTTCAAAGATATTGAAGAACAGTATCCTACTAGTTTAAATTGTGTTGAAATTATAAATACCTTGGCATTAGATAATCAGAAGAAACTGAGCAAAGGTCATGAGTTTGTTTCACAGTCAGTTAATACTGTATCTGCATGTGCGCAGAGTAGTCCATTTGTTTCTAATTGTGAAAATAGTGACATACCTCCTCAGATGTTAGATTTTAATTCAAACAATAATTTAACACCTAGCCAAAAGGCAGAAATTACAGAACTTTCTACTATATTGGAAGAATCAGGAAGTCAGTTTGAATTTACGCAGTTTAGAAAACCAAGTCACATAATACCAAATAATACATTTGAAGTGCCTGCAAACAAGATGACTGTCTTAAATACTACTGAAGAATGGAAAGATGTTGATCTTAATGTCACAACTAATGCCTCATCTATTGGTCAGGTAGACAACAGCAAGAAATTTGAAGGTGTAGTTGGAGTTAAACAAAAGTTCACTTACTTATTGGAAAACAACTGTAACAAAAGTGTTTCTGGTTATTTAACAGGTGAAAATGAAGTGGAGTTTAGAGGCTTTTATTCTGCTCTTGGCAAAAAATTGAATGTTTCTAGTGAAGCTATGCAAAAAGCTGTGAAAGTGTTTAGTGATATTGAGAATATTAATGAGGAACCTTCTATAGAAGTAGATCCAAGAAGTTTCTCTTCAAGTAATTATAATGATTCTGTTGTCTCAATGTTTAAAATAGAAAATCATAACAATGATAAAAATTTAAATGAGAAAAATAAATGCCAATTAATATTACAAAATAATATTGAAATGACTACTGGCACTTTTGTTGAAGAAAATATTGAAAATTACAAGAGAAATACTGAAAGTGAAAATAACAAATGTACTGCCACTAGTAGAAATACTTGTAACATAGAATCTGATGGCCATGATTCAAATAAAAATGATATAGTTTATATTCATGAAGATGCAAATGACTTGCCAGGTACTGATCAGCACAATCTTAAATTATCTAGCCAGTTTATGAAGGAGGGAAACACTGAAATTAAAGAAAATTTGTCAGATTTAACTTGTCTGGAAATTGTGAAAGCTGGGGAAGCATGTCATGTTGATACTTCACATAAACAGTTAACTGCTAGTAAAATTGAGCAAAATATAAAAGATCTGGGGATTTTTGATATATCCTTTCAGACTGCAAGTGGCAAAAATATCAGCATCTCCAAAGAGTCATTAAATAAAGTTGTAAATTTCTTTGATCAAAAAACAGAAGAAGAATTGAATAACTTTTCCTTGAATTCTAAATTACTTTCTGGCATAAGTAAGAACGAAGTGGACATTTTACGTAATAAGGAAACAGACATGTTTGAAAATAAAATATTAAAAGAAAGTATCCCAGTTGGTACTGGAATTCAATTAGCAACCCTCCAGCAACAACCTGAATGTGAAATTGAAAAAATCAAAGAAGCTATGCTGTTGAGTTTTCATACAGCTAGTGGGAAAAAAGTAAATATTGCAAAGGAATCTTTGGAAAAAGTAAAAAATCTTTTTGATGAAAAAAAGCAATATATTGATGAAATCACCAGTTTTAGCCAAGGATTAAAGATCCAAAAGGACAGAGGAGACTGTAAAGAAGGGCTTATATTAGCATGTGAGACAGTTGAGATAACGACTGTCCCAAAGTGTGAAGAAATGCAGAATTCTCTAGATGATAATGAGAAAAATCAAGTTTCTAATACAAATACAGTGTTACCTGGGCCCTTAAGTGATCATTTGCATAGACAGTCTGAAAATCTCAAGACATCAAATGATATCTCTTTGAAAGTAAAAGTACATGAAAATGTAGAAAAAGAAACAGCAAAAAGTCCTACAATTTGCTACACAAATCAGTCCCCCTATTCAGCCATTGAAAATTCAGCTTTAGCATTTTACACAGGACATGGTAGAAGAATTTCTGTGAGTGAGGCTTCACTGTTTGAAGCAAAAAAATGGCTTAGAGAAGGAGAATTGGGTGATCAACTGGAAAAAATAAATACTGCCAAGGTTATATGTGCAAAGGAATACTCTGAGTATTATGGAGGAAATCCTTCACAGGAAAGTGCTTCAAACAGTATTATAACTGAAAATGACAAAAATCATCTCTCTGAAGAGCAAGATTCAACTTATTTAGGTAACAGTAACTTGTCTAACAACTATTCCTGCCATTCTAATTCTTGTTATTCTCATGAGGTATATAATGATTCAGGATATCTCTCAAAAAATATAATTGATTCTAGTATTGAGCCAGTGGTGAAGAATATTGAAGATAAAGAAAACAGTAGCTTTTCAGAAATAATATCCATTGTAAAAGAAGCAAATGCATACCCACAAACTGTACATGAAGATACTTGTGTTCAGACACTTGTGACTAACTCTTCATTATGCAAAGATGAAAATACATCCACTAAATTGTCTGTATCTAATTCAAATAATTTTGAAGTAGGGCCACCTGCATTCAGCACAGCCAGTGGTAAAATAGTATGTGTTTCACATGAAACAATTAAAAAAGTAAAAGAGTTATTTACAGACAATGGCAGTAAGGTAATTCAGCCAAACACTGAGAGTAAATCTGGCGCTTGCCAAACAAAAATTGGGGCAGGTCATTATAAGGCATTAAATGATTCAGAGGATATTATTTTTTCTAACTCTGATAAAGTTGTTGATGAAGAATGTTGTATGCATTCACATAAGGTTTTTGCTGACATTCAAAGTGAGCAACTTTTACATGACCAAAGTATGTCTGGATTGGAGAAAGTTTCTAAAAAAGCACCTTGTAATTCTAGTTTGAAAACTTCAAGTATATGTAAATTTAATACAGGGGAGCTTCCCAAGTCAGTCTCTTCTACAAATGCTTGTGGGATTTTTAGTACAGCAAGTGGAAAATCCATACAAGTATCAGATGCTTCATTACAAAAGGCAAGACAGGTGTTTTCTGAGATAGATGATAGTGCCAAGCAACTCTTTTCCAAAATATCCTTTAAAAGTAATAAAGAATATTTAGACCAGTTCACAAGAGAAGAAAAAACAATGCATATCCCCCAAAATTTAATATCACCCCAAAAAGGCTTTTCGTATAATGTAGTAAATTCATCTGCTTTCTCTGGATTTAGTACAGCAAGTGGAAAACAAGTTTCAATTTCAGAAAGTGCCTTACACAAAGTTAAGAGAATGTTAGAGGAATTTGATTTCATCAGAACTGACCATACTCTTCAGCATTCACCTACATCTAGACAAGATATATCAAAAATACCTTCTCTTCCTTGTACTGATAAGAGAACTCCAGCATATTCTGTGAACTCAAAAATGGAAAAAGCCTACAGTAAAGAATTTAAATTATCAAATAACTATAATATTGAAAGCAGCTCTTCAGAAAATAATCACTTTATTAAAGTTCCTCCAAGTCTGTCTGAGTTTAAGCAAGACGAACAACAGTTGGCATTAGGAACCAAAGTATCACTTGTGGAGAACATTCATATTTTGGGAAAAGAACAAGCTTTATCTAAAAACATAAAAGTGAAAATTGGTAAATCTGAAACTTTTTCTGATGTTCCTGTGAAAACAGATATAGAAGTGTGTTCTACTTACCCCAAAGATTCCGAAAATTACCTTGAAACAGAAGCAGTGGAGATTGCCAAAGCTTTTATGGAAGATGGTGAACTGACAGATTCTGAACCACCAAGTCATGCTGAACACTCTCTTTTTACATGCCAAAAAAATGAGGAAACAGTTTGTTTAAATTCACGAATTGGAAAAAGAAGAGGAGATGACCTTGTTTCAAGTGGTAAGTGTTTATTTTTACCTTTTGGTTTGCCAATCACTATTTTAAAAGTGTTTAGTCCTTAATAGTCTTATTATGTGAGCAATTAGAGTGTTATAAGCTGAGTATATTTGTTCAGCTTTTATATGTAGTTGAGGGGAGTGTGATTTGACTTGATATCTCTGAATCTGTATACCAAGAAATTATGTTTTGAGGATCTCTTAATGCATTTTTAGAGATTATTGATATAGTTACAATTGAGAAATTACTGTTAAGCTTCAGTTTCACTAGAAAAGTTGAAACTCTTCATGTTTTAACAAAACGTGCATAGTACCAACTTGTTAACTATTTTTGCATGTATAGCAGAGGTTCAGACTCTGGCTTCACCCTATTTCTCTGAGCCTCAGTTTCCTTATCTATAAAATACCAATGACACCTCCCACAGCGTAAGTATGAGAACGAAAATGGTGTCATCTAAAGCACTGAGTCCTGAACCTGACACATAAAAGTCAGCATTCAGAAGGCCTTGGTTTGCCTGCTATTTTTCATCTAGGAGTTGGTCTAAAAACAGTATCCTTAGAATATAATATCATGATCTTAATGCTATTTGGGCTATATTCTGTCTGCCCTTTTAACTGTATATCTAACAATGTTCAACTACAATTATGTGTCGCTTAACAACTGGGATCCATCCTGAGACATGCATCCTTAGGTGATTTCATCATTGTGTGAACATCATAGAGCGTACCTACACAAACCTAGATGGGAAAGCCTACTAATCTAGGCTATTTGCTATAGCCTGTTGCTCCTAGGCTACAAATGGCACATGTTACTGTACTGAATGCAGTAGGCAATTATAATGATAAGTGTTTGTGTATCTAAACGTAGGAAAGGTACAGTAAAAATTTTATAATTGTATGGGACCATTATTATAATCTTACAGGACCACCATTGTATTTGTGGTCTGTCGTTGACAGAAATGTTATGTGGCATGTGACTGTATTAAGTTAGCTGGATGTGTATGTCTTTTTCTTATCAGTGTCTGTGGGAATAATCTTAAATAATTGAATGTATTGATTAGTTACAATTAAAGTAAATGCCAAAACTAACTCTCCAACTTCTGAGTGGTTAATCTTAAATAACTAGCTCCTTTTAAAAACCTATAGACTTATAGAATATTTGAGTTATCAAAGTCTTGTCTAGTCCCTTCATATTATCTTCATATTATCAAGAAAGATCCTGAGCCCTGTCTATTCATTCTACCATTGGTGCCTTTTGCCCTTAAGTTATCCTGGTTGCTACAGATTTACTTAATCAAGTGTTATCCATGTCACATTCTATGTAGAGTTTACTTTATGGGCAAGTGCTAAGTTTGTAATACATACCTTAAATTCTTTGCTGTCCTTTAGTGCAAAATTCTGAAGTGCATATGCTTAAAGATATTCATAATTCTTTTGTAGAAAATAATGACTTTATGCAACCCATTGTGTTCATATGCATATTGAAGTGGGTTGACCTTCTGCCTACAAAAAAACAACTCAGATTTATAAATGTTCTCGACGGTGTTACTATTTAATTTTCCTCACTTCTGTTATATATAAGTATATAGCTTAATTAGTTCCTGGTTATTTGAACAGTAAAGTGGTTTATTAAATAAGCAAACCACTTAAAATGATCTAACACCAGCTAATGCCTTGCATGGACATTTTTACTTATTAAATTCTACAAATGTATTCCTTGTAATAAAGCATCAAAAGCAAAGTACCTCAGCATGACATGGAAATGCATAACTAGGGTTATAGTTTAATCTTAGCCTCTAGAATTTTTAAATAAGAGATGTTACTAGTATTTTAATGCATTTTTGTCATTAAATATGAAATGTCCAATTTTGAATCAGAAATTTAGTTCATTACATAACAAACAAGAAGCAGTACAATTAATTAAAGTATGTGCCTAAACTATTGACACAGTTTTGCTGTCTTAATGGTAGCCAGCAACAAAGATGCCTGGCAAGTGAGTGGTAATGAATTGCGAAAGGCGTTTTCCACAGCTTGTTGAGAATTGAATATTTTTCCTTGCAAGAAGTGGTCCAAAGCGTGAAAGAAGTGGTAGTCAGTTGGTTCAAGGTCTAGTGAGTACAGAGGATAAAAGAGTTTCCAAGTCTAACTTCTGTAGTTTGAACGGCGTTATTTTTTGCAACATGTGGTTTTGCAAGAAGATTGGCCTGTCTCTGTTGACCAGTCTTGGCTGCTTAAACCCAAGCATCCTCATCACTTCATCCAATTGGTCACAGTAGACATCTGCTATAATCGATGCACCAGGTTTCATGAAGCTATAGTGGAGAATGCTAGTGCTGGACCACCAAACAGACAACACTATTAGCTTTTTTTTTTTTTTTTTGATGAAATTTGGTTTGGGACTGTGTTTTGACACTTCATCTTTATCCACCCATTGTGCTGAACGCTTGAAATTGTCAAAAAATCCATTTTCATCACACACAATACGGTGTAGAAATGGTTCACCTTTATGTTGTGACAAGCAAGGAAAGGCAAGCTTCGAGATGATTTCTTTTCTGATGCTTGTTTAATTCATGTGGTACCCATCTATCCAGCTTCTTCACCTTGCCCATTTATTTCAAGTGGTCAAATATTGTCGGAATAGTAACATCAAAAAACCTTGCTGCTAATTCACATGAAGGTTAAGATGGATTCACTTCCACTACAGCTTTCAGCTCATTATTATCTACCTTGGTCTCAGGTCACCCACATAGTTCATTTCCAAAGTTAAAAATCACCAGAACAGAACTTCTCAAACCATAGACATACTATGCATTACTTAGCCACATTCTTCCCAAACATTTCATTGATATTTTGACCTGTCTGCACTGTATTGGTTCGAAGACAGAACTCATATTTAAAACTAACAAGAATTTTTTATTTATCCATGGTTTCACAAAAATTGCTCTTAAAAAAAATTGAAAGATAATCACAAGCCAAAATGTGCATTTGAAAGAATGAGGATGTATCTTTACAATTAAAAAAAAAACAAGTGTCAAAGTGAAATGTCAGAGATATCAACTGTCGAACTTACTACTTAAGGAAATTGGACATTCCATACTTAATAACCTAATAATTTGGCAATTTAAAAAAATCTCTTACTCTAATTTAAAGGACCTATATAACAAATTCCTCCTTGAGTTTAATGCCCCCCAAGTTTATTTGAAGTTAATTTGAAGAAATTTTGGTTGACCTCATTGCCAATAAATTAGAATTATATTTTGTGCCAGTTTATTAAATAACAGCTTTTCTGTGGTATCTGGTAATATCTATTAATCCCTAGACATTATTAAATAGTGGGGGGGGGGGTGTTTGTTTGTTTGTTTTATTTAAAGAACCCATGCCATGGCAGTGAGAGCGCCAAATCATAACCATTAGACCACCAGGGAATTATGGTATTTTTAAATGGTGAAAAAATAATAGAAAGTAAATTGACACTGAAAAATGAATTTTTTCTTTCAAAGTAGAATGGTCACTATTTAAATTATAATTATTATGTATTATGACATAGAAATGTATAGCTTGAATTATGATTTAATCTTACCCTCTTGGCCTCTAGAATTTTTCAATAAGTATTACTATTAACATTTTAATGTGATTTGGTAATTAATATAAGAGTCAAGCCATATAAATTTGGTAATTAATATATGAGTCAGTACTTTAGTTTTCAAAATGGACTATATGCTTTTGAAAAATAAAATTGATGTTATTTGCTTCAAAAACATGTATGGAATTTGTTTTTAGGAGAACCCTCAATCAAAAGAAACTTGTTAAATGAATTTAACAAGATAATAGAAAATCAAGAAAAATCCTTAAAGGCTTCAAAAAGCACTCCAGATGGTAAAATTTGCTTTTTATTTGTATCTTCCCCTTCATAGATACTATATGTAATAGTCTTAAAGTTATTTTTCTCATTTCTTTTGGATGTATGTGTGGAAAGAGATTTACAGTGTGGTTTACTTGTTAAATTTATATCTTGCTTGTTTGTTAAGTGGACTTTTCCTTCATAATATCTAGCATGATGGCAAGGTAATTGGAAAATGTGAAATGATTATAAAATAATGACTTTTTATTTTACAAAGTTGTAAGAATTTAGCAAAATACTAGTATAATAATTTAAAGCTCAGATTTTAGACTGCAGTCAGGCTTTGACCCCCAGCATTCCCTAAAATCAGTCTTTCCTAAATGACACAGTGATCTCCATGTTGCCAAATCAAGTGAGCATTTCTCAGTCCTAATTTCACTCCATCTTTTAGCCACATTTGGCATAGTTGATCACTGTTCTCCAGACCACCACTTTCTCTTTGTTTTCCTTGTACATGGCAACTCTTTCTCCTTCTTATTTGCTTATTCTTTATTGTTTTGTTTCTCTAAATAGGAGAGCCCCAGGACTCTGTCCTTAGATCTCTTTTCTGCCTGAACTTCACTGGCTGCCAAAGTTGTATCTGCAGCCTTAGCCTGTCCCTGAATATCAGATTCATTCGCCACTTGATAGATCTCTCCTTGGATCTCTGATATGTATCTCAAAGTTAATATAGCTAGTATTGAACTCCTAATTCCATCCCTGTCTCAGACCCACTCTTTTCTCTTGTCTTTCCTTTCTCATTCTGCCAGTTGATCCTATCAAAATCTTGATATCTTTTACTTTTTTGTTTCCTCATTCTCCTCCCATTGTTGGGGAACCTGTGGCCTTCTGATTTCAAGGTTCTTTTTTTGAGCACCAAAGGAGGCAAGAAAAGCTTTATCTTTCTCTACTGCACCCCTTTTAACAAAAGGATTTGTTCTATAAAAGTTGGATTCAGTTAAAAAGCAGCACTCAAGGATTCAGTAGGCCACAGGCGGCAGAACCCATCAACAAGTCCTATAGATTCTGCCTTCAAAATTATAACCAGAATTTCTTCATTTATTTTCACTTCTACCCTTACCACCCTTCTCCAACCCAATCTCATAGCTTCTATCTGATCTCCCAACTTTTACCTTTGCCTCTCCTCAGGCTATTCTCAACACTGCAACCAGACTCATTCTTCTGGTCAGATCATGTTACTTGGCTGTTTAAAACTCTGTGGCATCTGCCGGCTGCAGTTGCTCACACCTGTAATCCTAGCCCTCTGGGAGGCCGAGGCGGGCAGATTGCTCAAGGTCAGGAGTTCAAAACCAGCCTGAGCAAGAATGAGATACCGTCTCTACTATAAATAGAAAGAAATTAATTGGCCAACTAATATATATAGAAAAAATTAGCCGGGCATGGTGGCACATGCCTGTAGTCCCAGCAACTTGGGAGGCTGAGGCAGCAGGATTGCTTGAGCCCAGGAGTTTGAGGTTGCTGTGAGCTAGGCTCACACCGCGGCACTCATTCTAGCCTGGGCAATAAAGTGAGACTCCGTCTCAAAAAAAAAAAAACAAACTCTGTGGCATCTATGCTATTTAAGCTGAAATCCGAAGTTCTTACCATAGAATGCTTGAAAAGAAAATATATGTAACTACTGTTCACTATATATTTGGTTTCTGAGTTTGGAAAGGGATAATTATATTAAACTATAGAGGCTTAGTTCTGAAACATAGATAAATCCCACAAGAAATAGGAACATTTTGGAATTTTCTAACTCATCTCTCATTTAATGATAAAAATTTGAAAGTTATCTTAAAGTCAGGATGGTTTGAATGTCCAGAAAAATGCACTTATTTTTTTCTGCTAATTTATTGGTTCTCAAACCTAGTATACACAAGAATTCTGAACAGGGTTGAAAACTAAAAACATGATTTACTTTTCTCAATGAGAAGTATAAGTAATTTGTAGGATAATTTTTACTGTATTTATTACCTGATAAACTATCTTTAGAACGTGTTTAAGATGTGACTCATCTTTAGGTATTAAAAGAATGCTATTAAAAAGTAGTAGGTATGTAGACAAATCTTGTCTTTCTAAAACAATTAGTTTTGGCACAGTCCTAGGTATAAGTAGATGGAAGAACATGTATTTAATTCTAACAGTGCTACTGTTGTTACATAAAATATTATCATAACTCCCCTTTTGGAATTATTTTGAGCTAGTAAATATTTAGTATTCATTTTAACATCACATCTTATTTTTTATGTTTTCAAAGATTTTTTTCAGCAGTATCATTATCGACCACATGCCATAGAAAAGTTGAGAGAATATAATGAATGCCCACATACCCACCACCTAGATTTAATAATTGTTATTTTGCTATATTTGTTTTATCTGTAATGTATAGATATATATACATGTAGTAATATATCTGAATATAGGTATGGGTGTACATATATTTTTGCTGAACCCTTTGAATGTTAGTTTCAAATTTAATGACATTTTATAATGATATAACACAGAACATTATCACCAAAGAAAATTTCCTAATATCTGGTATAATCTAATCTATAGTAGTCCTCTTGCCTTCTTTTTTAAATTTCATTTTCTGTGACATTGACACTTTAAAGTGACCAAGCCAGTTTTGTAGACAGTCCTACATTCTAGACTTGTTTCCTTATAGTATCATTTAACTTGTTCTATTCCTCATTTTGATAGAAGACTTGAATAAGATTAAGTTATGCATTTTTAGCAAGAATGCCTCCTAGAAGAGCTGTGTATGTACATTGCATCATATTCAAGATGCACAAATGTGAAATGATTTGATCACTTGGTTAGGATGCTAGCTACAAGACCACTTCATTGAAAAGGTATATTTTCTCATTTGTAATTAGCAAGTAATCTATGGCATGATACTCTGGTACTTTGAGAATATCCAGATTACTCAGCAATCTTCACTCACAATTTTAACATCCATTGATATTTGCCTAAATTGATTATTTAATTGGAGGTTGAAAAACTGATTTTCAGATTGTTATTTCTTACCCATTTATCAGCTGGTAATCTTCAACAGGGAAGAGCTTTCTCTTAACAACTAGGAATTAACTATAGTTCCACCTAAAAAAGCAAAGTAAATACTTAATTTTTCCCCTCTAATTACAGTTTTTCACAGTAAGGCATGAGTTAATGTAATAGTCACTGTTAATGATAGCAATTTTCTTTCTCTGTTGAATAAAATCGATTTCATGGATTTTTATAATGTATGTATAAAGTTTATAGGTAAAACACATTATAAATAATGTATTTCTTTACAAAAATAAAACATGCTTTTTGATGTTCAGATCATCCCCAATTTGGAAATAGAAACCTCTTCAAACTATTTCCCAAGGGCCCAAGAGTTGTTTGGGTTTTTTGTTTGTTTGTTTGTTTGGGGGTTTTTTTTTGTTTTGTTTTGTTTTTTTACTATACACTGGTTAATTTTTGAGCACTTGCTTTTCTAAATTGAGATTTGTATGCTAGGTATGCTATTGCTGCTGGTATTATTGTTTTTGGAATGCTGAAATTCTTATTTGCTTTATCCTGTAGTAGTGGTTTTCAAACTTTTTCCTCTCAATACTGTGTACTCTTAAAAATCGATGGTCCAAAAGAGCATTTGTTTATGTGGATTACAGCTATTGATATTTATCATATTAGAAATTAAAATTGATAAACTTTAATAGTTGTAATATACATTGGTCATTTGGAAAATAATAGTTCACTGTGTTATGCAAATCTACCCAAAGTTGACAGTTTTAATATACAGTGTTAAACAGTTACTTTTATTAATGTCATTACTGATCTAATAGGGAAAGGTTAAGTATTGGAAAGATGTCAAGCTTGCAGAGACAGAGACAGGCTTCCCAAATTTCTAATTTTTCAAAAGCTTGAATTTTACCACTGGCAACAAACATTGTCACTTGTTTTTCTTATAGTTGACAATCTCATTTCATTCATTTTTGAGCAAATGTCTGCTGAATACCCAAGTCTGAATAACCAGTTTGTTACTTATTCTTTAAAGTAAAAATAGTATTTAATGAAAAAAAAAACTCTAGTGCAGTTCATAACTCATCATGTAAGTTCATTTTCTTGAGAAAAATCACACCTAAATATATAGCAGAATACACCAGTAGTGCAAATGTCAATGCAGTAAATAGGATGTATATAACATCTTAGTATTATTAAGACAATTTTGACAACTTGGATTCCCTAAAACAGTTGTAGGTACCCTGCCCTTCAGGTTCCACAGATCATCCTTTGGGAATCACTATCCTACAGTATATATGTAATAATTTTAAATTTACAATAACCAGTAATGATAAAACTACTAAGGGAAATTTAAAAATTCTTTGCAGTTTTTGTCCTTAGAATATACTGGTTGAATATCCCTTACCTGAAATGCTTGGGACCACAAGTGTTTCAGATTTCACTTTTTTTTTTTTTTAATTTTAAGATGTTTGCATATATATAATGAGATATCATAGAGATAGGACCCAAGTATAAACACAAAATTCATTTATGTTTCATATATACCTTATGCATATAGCCTGAAGGTAGTCTTATACAATATTTTAAATAATTTTGTATATGAAACAGTTTTAACTGTGACCCAACGTAGGATCAGGTGTGGAATTTTCCACTTGTGGAGTCATGTCGGCACTCAAAAAGTTTCAGAGTTTGCATTTTCAGCTTAGAGATGTTCAACCTGTATAATAATTAAGGATGTGTAGTCAAAGTACTCTGTTTACATGTCACTCAAAATAATTCTTTTGTGTGTGATTACTTATTTGACAATTAGATTTGTTTGTTTCTGTTTTCAATATTAAGAAATTTTTCTCATTTAATTTTACATTTGAATAAATAAAATAGCTCATTTGTCAAAACTACAGAAAGGTATACTTAGAGAGTTTGATTCTATTCCTATCACCTCCATACTATTATTCACCACCTTCCCTACCTCTTTCTCACTCTATTTTTAATGGCTTATGGGTTTTGGTTTATCCTTTCAAGATTTCTTTTTATAAAAATAAGCAAATACGTATATACGTATTCTCATTACCTTTCTTTCTTAAAAGATATGGTTTACATACCATTTGCACTGTGTTTACTGCTTGTTGTTTACTTAAGAATTTATTTAATGAGTATACAGAGATTGACCTCATTCTTTTTTATGATTACATAGCAGTTGATCATGTGGCTCAATCAGTGTATCCTCATTTCTTCAACTAATTCCCTACTAATGGATTTATTGAAGATTAATAGGTACAAGTTACATACTGAAAATGAATAATATCTAAGCTTAGCTTCTAAACCTTCATAAGACTAAATTTTCAATTTTATATTTGTATTGGCAATTAGTATTAGCTAAAGCCTTTGAGTTATGATTGTTAACATCAACTGACTAAATTTATACTGACTTCTTTGTATGTTGTGCTGTGAGTTATTTGGCAGATAGTCATTATCAGTTTGTGAATCAAAAAAACTATCATTTACTGAGCACTCATGCATTGAAAATTTTAAAGTCTACCATTGTCTCAAATTTTTATGTAAATATTTACAGTAACATGTAATAAACATATGGAAAATAAAATCTATTAGATTTTTATTAACATATAATGTAAAACAATTTTCTTCTAGGCACATTAAAAGATAGAAGATTGTTTATGCATCACATTTCTTTAGAGCCAGTTACCTGTGGACCCTTTGGGTAAGACAAATTTAAATTTTTAAAAATTCTAATATAGTGTAGGAAAAGTCTGGTTTTTTAAATCACTGTGTCTAAAAATAATGGCACCAAAATTAAGGTAAGAAGTTAGCACTTCTCTTTTGGAAACCCTGCATCAGGATGAAATAATTCTGTACTTTGGTAATATTTTGTACTGCTGTTCATATTATTATTTCATTTTTTAGTTTCATAGTAGCTTTGCAAAGTAGAAAAACAGATTTTATTCCAATTTTATGAATGAGGTACTGAGGCTCAGAGGAATTAAGGATTGCCCAAAATCAATTAACAAAAAAGATAGCAGATATTGAAAATATCCTTTTATCTTTCCTCCCTCCCTCAATCTTACTAAAATTACTTAAGAGAATTTTTTTTAACATGTAATTCCCAAGGACAATGATCAGAGGAAACAAACAACAACAAAAGTTTGGAAGCCAAAAATATGAATAACTTAGCAAGCTTGAGAAAACTAAAATCTGCCTTAGAGCAGTGCTCCCCAAACTTTTTGGCACCAGTGACTGGTTCCATGGAAAATAATTTTTCCATGAATGGGGTGGGGAGGGTTGGGCGGGGTAGAGGGTACAGAAGTAGACCTCAGGTGGTGATGCAAGCGATGGGGTGAGGCTATAAATATAGATGAAGCCTCACTGGCCTACTGCTCACCTCCTGCTGTGCTAACAGGCCATGGACCGAACAGGTCTGTAGCCCAGGGGTTGGGGACTGCAGTCTTAGAGCAAGCAGAGAAGCTGCCCACTTTCCCCTAAAGAACCCAAGAAAGGGCTAGGCTTGCGCCTGTAATCCTAGCACTCTGGGAGGCCAAGGTGGGTGGATTGCTCGAGGTCAGGAGTTTGAAACCACCCTGAGCAAGAGCGAGACCCTGTCCCTACTATAAATAAAAAGAAATGAATTGGCCAACTAATGTATATATATAAAATTAGCCGGGCATGGTAGCGCATGCCTGTAGTCCCAGCTACTCTGGAGGCTGAGGCAGTAGGATCACTTGAGCCCAGGAGTTTGAGGTTGCTGTGAGCTAAGCTGATGCCACGGCACTCACTCTAGCCTGGGCAACAAAGCGAGACTCTGTCTCAATCAATCCATCCATCCATACATACATACCAGAGAAAAGCTCCAATTGGCAGCAACATGTACCTCAAAAAGTGAGATAGAAAATAGGAAAATTGGTTGAAATTCTGTTTAAGAAATGTCTATATTTTGTCCCCAACAGCAGATAGGCAGTTATCTTTCTTCCCTGAGAAGACAAGAAGTTTATTCTCTGGAGAAAATCAATTGGAAGAATTCTGAATTGGGGCTAAGCTGGAGGGTGGGGATACCAGGCACAGTTGAGGGAAGGGTACTAAAAACAAAAATGGAGTAAAAATCAGTGTATCAAGCAATGAGCCTCCTTTTCACACTTAGTCTCCCAAATGTTACCAGGCAGGCCCTCTGGGAGGTAGAAGTCTGGAAGATTTTTTCCTAGTGAATATGACCAGCCCAATAGAAAAGATCTGAAAATACTGCCAGTTGGCGGTACGCAAATGGAGCAGTTTAGCTGATCATCAGACAGCGAAGCGAACAGTTGACAAGCACAGAGCTTCCAGTCAGTGATTTAGTTCTTCACTTTTAAATAAGAATAGATAATCAAGGATCACTAGTCATTGGAAGAAAGTTGCTGTGAAAGATAGTCACCAAAGTACAAAAACCAAAGCTAAAAGAAACTTAGAGGAAATATACTATGCAAGGAGAAGAAAACTTCAAAAATACTTACTAATATTCTTAGGTAATAGAAGATATTACAGCCTTAAAATAAGAACAAGTAGCTATAAAAATTGCTCTTAGAAATGAAAAGTATGATAGCACAAATAAATTAACTTAGTAGAAGTAATATATAAAAATAATGAAAGCTCCCAGAATATAGAATAAAATGAAAAGGATGAAATAAGCAATGAAAAGATAATTAGAAAAGTCAGTTTTGTGGGTCTAATATCTGAAAATACAGACTTTGGGAAGGAAGGAACTGAAGAGAAATGAAGAAAGAATTTTTTAAAAATAATTTTAAGTTTTACCAGTACTAAAGGACATGAGTTTTCTTGATTAAAAGGGCCCACTGAGTGGACATATGAATAAAAAAGGCACAGTAAAGGCACATTCTTATGAAATTTTAGAATACTAGGAGCAGAGAGGAACAGTAAATTTATTGGATGGGGGGATCAAAGACAAGGTCACGTAGTTTCATGAGTCATAGTATGAATTCTTAACAATGGAATCTAGAAGATTATAGATCTTACAATGTATAATACAGAGCAATGGCTTCAAAATTCTGAGAGAAAATGACTTTCAACCTAGAATCCTAGCATTGACCAAAATACAAATTAAGTGTGAGGGTAGACACTTTTCCAGTTCAAAGCACTTTTTAAGGAAGCTAGCCAAAACAAGTGGTAAATCAGGAAGGAAGAAGATATAGGACTTAAAAAACAAGAATTCAACATAGGAGAGAGGCAAAGGGAGCCCTCAGGTTGATAATGAAGGGAGCTTCCAGAATTATAGCTGTGTTGCTAAGTCAAGAAAGGCACTTATACCACTTTGGAACCAAAGAATAGAGAGATCCCTAAGAGAGTTTGCCTACAAGATAAAAATAAAGCAGTACCTGAGTGTTTTAATGTATTAGGAAACTTCTTGGTAAAGATGGCAGGTTAAACATACTTGTGTACTTTCTTTGCCTTCTAAAATTAGACCAAAGCAACAGTGAAGAAACTTGTACCAAAAACAGTGAAAATAAGAGAGACCACAGGAACTAAACTTTTCAAAGTGTGCAAGAGAAAACTGATTCATAGCTGGTAGTGGGTATAGCAGAGAACCAACCATTTTACACTAAAGTCTCAAAAGCTCAGGAGTTGATGCCTCTGTGTATCTTCATATTTGGGTGCTAACAGAAGGAGGGAGCCGAAAAAATGTTAAAAAATATGTTTAAGAAGCAGTCAAATGTACTCTTTCACTCTGTGAAGCTGGAAAACTGCCTCTTGCCCACTCTAACAAAAGACTAGAGACTTACTCTTTAGAGTGGATACAGTAGAGGGACTTATTGGTGAACACACGAGGCACAGTTGAAAGCAGAAATAAGTACTCAAAAGCAAGGGGAATATGTTCGTGTATGCATATTGATTGTTGGTGATATCCCATCAAGCCCTCTTCCCCTACTCAATTTCCAGAATGTAGATAGTTTTTACTAATAGTAAAAACGTTAGAAATTTCCAGTCAATCAATCTACAGTATATCCTGTAATCAACAAGTTCCATCTTTGACAAAGGGCTTTCAAACAACTTTTTGGTCTTCTACTCTTAAATATAAAGACATCCAGAGACTATCAGACATCAGAAAAAGCAAAAATAAAATAACCAAAAAACTAATGAAAACAACTTAATAGGAACACTATTTTATTATTTCTTCTAAGGAGAAGAACCATTTTTAAAAATTTTTTTAAATTTAAAAAAATTTTAAATTTTTTTAAATTTAAAAAAATTTTTTAAAAAAGAACAAAACAGGCTGGTCCGATGGTAGTGGGTTATCAGAACTTATTCACATTAGTGTCACTAAAGTTGGTATTCAACCCCCCACTGCTAAATTTGACTGGCTTTAAAAAAAAAAAGAACAAAACTATAATTTATGAACAGAGTGAAAAGAGGTTTTATAATATATAGCTGAGAGTTTGGATGTAAATAAGTGATGGATATGTCAAAAAATTTTTTAAAATTTTTAAAAAAATACTACCTCAAAGGAAAGCAAAAGTTGTAAAGAAAGGAAGTACAATTGTAACATACTACATGTTAATACTACATATACTTTATATCAATATAACACATTTAGCTGTGAAAAGTGTTATTTAGCCAGTGTAAATGTTGAATATTGATAGACCTCAAGTATATAACTTGAGGCCGGGTACAGTGGCTCACGCCTGTAATCCTAGCTTTCTGGGAGGCCAAGGCAGGAGGATTGCTTGATCAGGAGTTTGAAACCAGCCTGAGCAACAGCGAGACCCCATCTCTACCAAAATTAGAAAGAAATTAATTGGCCAACTAATATATATAGAAAAAATTAGCCGGGCATGGTGGCACATGCCTGTAGTCCCAGCTACTTAGGAGGCTGAGGCAGAAGGATTGCTTGAGCCCAGGAGCTTGAGGTTGCTGTGAGCTAGGCTGACGCCATGGCACTCTAGCCTGGGCAACAGAGTGAGACTCTGTCTCAAAATATATATATATAACTTGAGAAGATGGGGAGAGGTGAGAGAGAAAGTGTATGTATATGTAATAAGGTGGCAGTGGAGTTGACGAACAGCTAAATCTTCATTTTCCATAGAGGTACCACAATAGAAAAAGTTGAGAACAAGCAGTTACAGAGATGTCACTTAGACATAATGGATATAAATATAGAAGCATCTAAAGTTGTTGAAAGTGGTTGCAAAACCTTTTCTAGCTGGTAAATTTTTAAGCCCAAAGATTTGATTGAAATTGTTTTAATGTTACCTTTTCAAAGATAACTACTTGTGGAATTGTTGAAGAGTCATTGAACTGTATCTCTGGAATATATTTTTTAGCAAGCTGCATATACATATATATATTTTTTTGAATGTAGAAAGCCAGCTGATTTTTGTTTTCATTTCTTTTTATCATAACAGGTTGTAATATATTAAATAATAAAGTAAATGCCTAGTTATTTATCTGTATTACCTTAATTTACATATGAAATGGGAAAATAATGTATTTAACAAACATTTGCTAAAGCACCTGCTCTAATTACCTCATGTACTGTGCTGATGGCTATAAAAATAAATAAGTCTAACTCAGATTGCTAGTCTAGGAACTAGGCATGAAAACAAGAATTATAATGTGATAAAAATTCTAAAGTAGATACAACAAAAGTGATGTGAGAACAAAGAAAAATAGGCAGCTAATTATGTGACAGAAAACTTAATGGGGAAAGTACTTCAGAATGTGAGCGATGCTTGGTTAAAGAAGACATTGCAAATCTTGGGATTTGGTCAGAGGAGAAGGCTCCTGAGAGGAAACAAAAAGAAATAGGAGATTAGAACCAAATAGGAAGCTTCCTGTGTGTCATTCCTGATAAGCTGAAACCTAAAAAGGAAATAGGCTGTCCTTGGAAGTTTCTAACAAAAGGAATGACATAACCAGATTTGTGTTTTAGAAATAGATCAAAGCAAAACTGTTGCAAAGAGATTAGTAAGGAAGTAAAGGTCTAACAAAGGAGGTAAAGGGAAATGAGTAGGAGATCAATTCATTAGGTTTGGCTAGATTGTGATTGAGACTGGCAAATTATCTCCATTTTGATTCAAAGAGACATGTTGAGCATAACCTGCAAAGCAAACTCCTCATTCTCACAGTATTCTTCATATTTAAAAACAAAGAGTAAAAAGGAGATCAATGAAAATTTTGGGAACAGGTTTATTCATTCTTGTGCACTAGTTCTCATCTACATCACTTATACAAGATAACCATTCTAGCAATTTTCTCCCCTCTCTCCTGCATGGTTAATTTTTTATTCTCTACTGGATTATTACAATTTCCATCAGCATAAGCAGTTGCTGTCAATCTCTTATCTCAAAAAGAGCCTTTCTTGACCAGTCTAATCTCAGCTTTGCTCCCCTTAAAGCCCAGCTCATTGGAATTGTCTCTGCTTACTGTCTCTACTTCATCTCTTCCTATGTTCTCCTGAACTCATTCCCATCAGTCTTTTATCACTATCCATCAGCTCTTATCAAGATTGCCAGTTACCTCCACACTGCTAAATCTTGTCCTCCTCATCGTCATGTTAACCTGTGAGTAGCATTCACATAATCACTTCTGCTTTCTTAACACTTTTTCTATTCTCCTTTCTGGGACATCTCTATTTCTCCTCCTATTCCATTAGCTGTTCTGTCTCCTTTGCTTGTTCTTTCCCTAACCACTAAATGTTAGAGTCCTCCAGAGTCTCTAGATCTCTTCCTACCCCTCCTCCCTAGTGATCTCATCCACCCTCCAGGGCTTTATATACTGTCTATTTACTGATGTCTCCAAAATTAGTATCTTTAGCTCCAGATCTGTCCTCTAAACAACATAATTCATCCAGTTACCTAATTGACATTTTTGTTTGGGTGACTAGTAGACATCTCAGACTTAACATTTCCAAAGCTTATAGTAAAAGTCTACCAACTCTGCTTTCAAAATATATCCAAAATCAAATCACTTCTCAACACTTTCACCCCTGACGCCCTGGTTCAAGTCATTATAAACTGCTAGGATTATTTCAATGGAACTGGTTTCCCTGCTTCTGACTTAACCCCCCACCACCATACACAGTGAATTCTCAACAGAGAAGCCAGAGGGATCCTTTTAAATATAAAACAGATTTTGTCATTTCTTTACTCAAAACTATTCCATGGCATCACTTCCCAGAGTACAAGCCAAAAGCCCTTACCATAGTGTTCAGGTTCTCCATGATCTGGCCCCATTACTACCTTTCCAGTCTCACCTTCTAACTTTCTTCCCCTTGTTCTCTCTGTTTGAGGCACACTTATGTCTAGGCCAATTGACATGTTTATTTGTTTCCTTCCACTGGTATGTACATGCTGACTTTTTTTGTTTGTTTGTCAGTATGTCTCCCAGCAAAAGAATGCCTGACACATAGGAATTCATTAAATATGTGATGAATAAATGGCTGAACTAAATGAATTCTAAGGTAGCTTCAAGTTCCAGATGTGCAGAATTTGGTAAAGGGAAATCTGGGGTTTTCAACCAGGTGTCAAGTATTAGGAAGAATGTATAAGCTGCTGAAGGCAATGAATTTAATTTTGGGCATGTTGAGTTGTGTGAAATATCAAGGTACAGATGTCTGATGTTTTACACAGCTTAAATGTAGGAACAACACCTAAGGGAAAAGCTGGGCATAAAGATAAATGATATTTTTGTTGTTAGATGGGTGATCATGGAAATGACTCACGTCAGCCTGAGACAGTATCTAGGGAAGAAATCCAACTTTGAAGACATGAATGTTTTTAAGAATCAGGAAGAGGTAAAACCAGTAAAAGAAAAGAAATAATTAGAAGGATAATGGTGGTAAGGATATTAAAAGAAGGAAAATGTCAGTTGTCAGGAAGGTCAAGCAGAATGACTTTGTATGTGTGTATATGTATACACAGATGCATGTGTGTGTTATACGCATGCATCTTAGAACAATTTCTGTAGAATAGTAGGGGAAATGAGAGTTCATTAGGTGGAAATTGAGGAAGTGAAAATAGCTAGTCTAGATTACTTATTCAAGGAAGTTGACCATGGAGGGTAGGTAATGCTGAGTATTAACATGAGGCAAAGATAAGGCTGGAAAGAAAAGTGTTTAAAAGGTGGGCAAGGCTTTTGGGCTAAATGTAAGGGGCACTAAAAACTAAAAACAGGTAGAGGGGAGAGCTAATGAGGAGACCAAGTTATTAGATGGGATAGAGAGTTCAGGTGAAGGTTTGAGCCATAGAGAAGACAGGTGGATATTTCCCTGGTAAAGGAGGTAAGTAGAGGGAGTACTATGGTAGAATTGGAGGGGACACACACTGAGAGGGTCCACGTTTGATAGATTCTCTTCTATTATGTGAAGTAGATTGTAAAGGCAAAGGCTGGCCATTAGTGCATGAGAAACAGTGGTAGCCTTGAAAAGTGTGGTATTGTTTGGGAATGACAACCCTGATGAATACAAAAACAGTTACCAGAATAGGATGGCCATGTAGTAGTTGAGAGTCTGCAAAAAAAAAAAAGGCATATTCCCAAGCATTTATATGTATACGTTTAGTACTGGTCAGTAATCAAATATTTTCTGCCCATTGTAGCACAACTAAGGAACGGCAAGAAATACAGAGTCCAAATTTTACTGCACCTGGTCAAGAATTTCTGTCTAAATCTCATTTTCATGAACGCCTGGCTTTGGAAAAATCTTCAAGCATTTTATCAATTTCGAGGCAGCCATTTTATAAAGTTCCTGCTACAAGAAATGAAGAAATGAAACGCCCAGTTACTACAGGCAAACCGACCAAAATCTTTGTCCCACCTTTTAAAACTAAATCACATTTTCACAGAGATGAACAGTGTGTTAGCAAGAATATTAATTTGGAGGAAAACAAACAGAAACAAAACATAGACAAACATGGCTCTGGTGATAGTGAAAATAATATTAATGACAGTGAGATTCATCAACTTAACAAAAACAACTCTAATCAAGCAGCGACTGTAAATGTCACAAAGCGTGAAGAAGAACCTTTAGGTATTGTCTGACAATTTGTGTAACACATTTTTGCCTTTCAGTTAGATATTTCTCATGTTAAATAATGTCCTGGGTTGTTTTTTTTTTCCCCCTTTTATGGTTCTTAATAATTTCTAAACCTTTTTTAATGGTTTAAATTTTCTAAATCCAAAGATTAGATTTAGATTATCCTAATATTTTCTTTCAAAGATGACTACTTGTGGACTTTCTTGTTAAAAAAAAAAAGCTGTTAGACATATAATCTAGGACTATTACCAGAATATATTTTTTATCATACTAATTTTCTTCAAAAATGAAGATAAAAATAATATATTTCTATTCTCTATACAACTTTGTAAGTTGAAACTTTTTCATCCATGAAAGATTTAAAAGGGGTAGGGGTTTCCTTTTTCTCTATATATAAAATTAGAGCAAAGTGATATATATAATTTATAAAGCAGGGGTTGTGCTTTTTAAATTTATATTCAATTTTATTTTTGCTAATTATTCTTTAACAGATTTAATTACAGGTCTTAAGAATGCCAGAGATATACAAGATATGCGGATTAAAAAGAAACAAAAGCAACATATCTTTCCACAGCCAGGCAGTCTGTATCTTGCAAAAACATCCACTCTGCCTAGAATCTCTCTGAAAGCAGCAGTAGGAGGACAAGTTCCCTCTGCATGTTCTCATAAACAGGTATGCTTTTGTGTACAATACTTACAGTTTTTATAGCAAAGTGTAATTAGTATCTACAAATTGTTTCAAGAATGAACAAATAGCCATGGGAATGAATGAATGAAATCATCATGCTTCTTAATTAGCCTGCCGTGGCCTCCCTCTCTTCTGCTAGGCCTGCCTTATCCTATCAAAGTGATCTGTGCTTCAAGACCCTATCTGTACTAAAAATAGAAAAATTATCTGGGCACAGTGGTGCACGCCTATAGTCCCACCCAGCTACTCAGCAGGCTGAGGCAGGAGAATGGCTTGAGTCCAGGAGTTTGGGGTTGCAGTGAGCTTCTGATCACAGCACTGCTCTCTAGCCTTGGGCAACAGAGCAAGACTACTGTGTCTCAAAAAAAAGGAAAGGCCATGTACAAATCTGACCTCCTTAGGTAATTTTCCCTAAAATACTTAAAATTTTTCCTATTCTTTTCTTTCTAAATTTTTGAACTTAGAAGATTTTGTAAAGCATGAGAGATTTTTATCCCCACAATACTTCCCTAGGGCAGATTTAGCAAGAAGTATTATACAGGGCGAGTGAAAAAGGTACAGCAGACTCTTGAATGTATAGGTCATATATAGCACATTAAAATTTTTAGCTTTCAATACATGTTAAATATTTTTATACTGAATATTCTAGTATTTAAATGAAAATTTTTTGGCAAATTCAGTTTGGATTTGTTATAATTGTTTTTATTGTGTGAAGTGTGTTCATTTTGACTTGTTTTTCATTCATTGTCAATTTTTTCTGTTTATTTTGTGCAGCTGTATATGTATGGCGTTTCTAAACATTGCATTAAAATTAACAGCAAAAATGCAGAGTCTTTTCAGTTTCACATGCAGGATTATTTTGGTAAGGAAGATTTATGGGCTAGACAGGGAATACAGTTGGCTGACGGTGGATGGCTCATACCCTCCAATGATGGCAAGGCTGGAAAAGAAGAATTTTATAGGTACTCCATGCAAAAAGACTTTATATTAACTTTTATGTATTTCATCATTTCTCTCTTCCTCACAAGTCTCTCTTTTGTCTCTTTCATGTACCTTGAACTAAAAAGTGGTCTAGAAATCAAATTTTATACATTGAATCATTAAGTACATTAGTAGTTTGGTAGACATTCTGTTGAAATCTTTTGAAAAGTAAATATGGTTTGTCCTGGGATTTAATAAGCTGAATTTTCTTAAATTGGGACATTTTTCTTATGCATTTACAAAATAAAGGCTGATAAGAAAAGTTAAATTTGAAATGGCTGTATCGTAGACTCCCCACATGTACACACAGATTTATGTCATATTCTCTTTCATTGTATATTTTAATAAATATAAATATTATAGTGTTTAATAAACATTAAAAGTGAAACAGAAGTATTTAAATATCAGTGATAACAAATAACTAGAAAATCTCAATGCCTTAAAACATTAACAATTTAGAAACTGTGTAACTTCTTTTGATTCTAATGTTTACACAGACATAATTAAAACTTTTTGCTATCAGAGATATATTACTTCATGCCAGTGGCAAAAGATGGGAATCATTTTCTAGCACCCTTATTTTTAAAACTTTCTATGCATCTTTCCAAAAATTTTGGGAAAGCAGTAAAATTTTTTTTCTGAATTTTTTTAAAACTATTTTAGAGTGTTTTAAAATGGAAACATTATTTACATGTTGCACATTTCTTACATAACAAACATCTGCTGTAGGTTCTATAAGAGTAGGAAAAGTATAGTAAAACAATTGTATTTTCTTACACTACATAGACTGCATAATGTAGAGGTGTTAAGAATAATTACCCTGTAGTCAAGTGGACAGAGTTCATAAAGTGTTACAGTGTTAGAGTGTTCCTCTTATTGTTTGTTTTTTGATTGTTCACCGAATATCTTTTAATCACCTACTATGTGCTGGGTACTATTCTGGGTACTAGGGATAACAAAGCAAAACAAAAAAATCCCTGCCCTAATGAATCATACATTCTAGTGGGCATGGAAAGCACAGAAAATTTTTTTAAGTAACATGAATTGTATAGTATGTTAAAAAGTGATAAGTACTCTGAAGATAGATAAAGCTGGGAAGGTGGTAGAGAAAGTTGGGTGAGGAGAGATGCAAGGTTTAAACAGAATAAGTAGTAAGGAAGGCTTTACCACATTGGTGACATTTAATAAATGACTTGAAGGAGGTAAAGGGATTGAGCATAGGACTGTCTGGGAAAGCTTCCCAGCCTCTAAGAGAGGAACATGCTTAAAAGACTTGAGGAACACAAATTACTGTAGCTAGAGTATAGTGGGCAGAAGAGTATTACTAATGAATAGAAAGGAAAGACCTCATAGACCTTTGTAAGAACTTTAGCTTTTATTCTTGACTAACAGTTTTTACTCTGAGTAAACCATTTGAAGGTTTAAAGCAGAGAGTGACGTGATCTAACTTAATTTTGGAAGAAAAATTCTGGCGGTTTTTGAGATTGGCAGGGAAGGGCAAGGATGGAAGCAGAGAGACCACTTAAGCTATTGCAGTAATCCTGGTGAGAAATGATTGCTTGGACGAGGGAGGTGGCAGTGGAGTTGGTGAGAAGCAGTTGGATTTGGCGTGTATTTTGAAGGTGACCATCAGGATTTACTCAAGAATTGGATGTAGAGTGTGAGCAAGGAGGAAAGTAGATTGGCTCCAAAGATTTTGACCGTAGCAGCTGGAAGGATAGAGTTACCATGTAACTTTACCAGAATTGAGAAGACCAAAGATGGAAGGGAAATTGAAAGTATAGTTTTGGACACTTGAAGCTTAAGATGTGATAGTAGACATCCAAGTGTAGATGTTAGATAGGCAGTTGGATATGCAAGTCTATATGTATATGAATTATAGCCAAAGAAATAAATTTAAGAGTGGAATTTAAAGTCAGGAAAAGGAGACTGAGAAAGAGCAGCCAGAAAGGAATAAATGCAGAAGAGTGTGGGGTGTTGCATGGAGATGGAGTTCTAAGGAATAGAGATCGACCAACTGTTACCTTCACTGCTGATTGGTAAAGTAAGGTGAAGATTGAGATTGACCACTGGATTTAGCACTGTAGAGGACATTACTAACCTTAATAAAAATAGTTCAGTAGATTGGTGAGTTGAAAGGCCCATTAGAAAGCAATTATAGGGCAATTGAAGAAGAAGAGTTGGAGATAATCAGTGAATTCTTTCAGGGATTGCTAAAGAGAGAAGCAGAGAAAGGGGCGGTACTTGGAAGAGGTAGTAGAATAAAAGGGTCTTGGTTTTGCCTTGTTTGTTTTAAGGCAGAAAAAACTTTTTATGCTAATGGAGATTGTCTAGTACAGAGGAAAAAAGATGACAGCAGGAGACAAAGGAGGCACTTCCTAGTCAGTGGCTGTGGTAGGTGGTAAGGGTTGGGAATTAGTACACAAATGGCAAAGGGAGAAGGCAAAGGGTAAGGATGTGTGGGTGCTGTAGGTTGGGTAGATGTGAGGGTGGAAGTTTATGGAAGTTCTCTTTTACTTCTGTTTTCTTAGTGCTAAGAGTGAGTGTGAGAGGAGGAGGAGTTAGAGATTTGAGAAGAGAGGGGACAGCATTAAGGAGAGCACCAGGACCAGGGAAGGGCGTTCTCAGGCATCATTTCTAAAAACAATCTCTTTAATAAGAAAAGTAATCTGTAATTATTTTAAGTTAAGGATCTCATTTTCCAGGAATAGTTATAATGACTGTTAAGTAATGTTTTATTAGTATGATACTTTGATACATGTTAAATAATTTTCTAAAATTATATTACTTATAAATCTTACATTAATTTATAAAAACTTATTGAATGTACAATGTAGTTTTTGTGCAGAGAATAATTGTCATTGTCGAATTCAGTATCATCCTATGTGTTTTTTATGATACTCTTCTAACTTTATTTATTCAGGGCTCTGTGTGACACCCCAGGTGTGGATCCAAAGCTCACTTCTAGAGTTTGGGTCTATAATCACTATAGATGGATTATATGGAAGCTGGCAGCTATGGAATTTGCTTTTCCTAAGGAATTTGCTAATAGATGCCTAAGCCCAGAAAGGGTGCTGCTTCAACTAAAATACAGGCAAGTTTTCATATACTGCAGTATGGTTCAGGCTTCTGTGCAGTCTGTGACTTTCACATCAAAGATGGTGCATGAGCCAGTTGCCAGTGACGTTGCCATCCCACCCTGCTGTTCATGTTGTACAGAGCTGTTCTCTTGTCATCCCCCACTTAAGAGAGATCACACACCTCTTGCTTCCCTCTTCCCCTACTCCCTTCTTAACCTCTTGGCATATGAGAAGAAAATGAGTTGCTAATTTGATCCACTATTCAGAGATTGCTAATAAAACATTTCTGCATTTCTTTGCTTTTTAGTATTCATATTTTAACAATATAAAACTTAATATATTACTGGCTACAAATTCTCTTTCAGTGTGTCTTTGAATTTAATATTTATTCTCAATTATTCTGTGACTTTTTTAACAATGGAATGCTAGAGTCATGATTCCTAAAATATGCATTTTTCTATTCATTTGTAGATATGATTTGGAAATTGATAGAAGCAGAAGATCAGCTATAAAAAAGATAGTGGAAAGGGATGACACAGCTGCAAAAACACTTGTTCTGTGTGTTTCTGACATAATTTCATCGAGCAAAAGTATATCTGAAACTTCTAGCAGTAAAACTGATAGTGTGAATACCAACAAAGTGGCCATTATTGAACTTACAGATGGGTGGTATGCTGTCAAGGCCCTCTTAGATCCTCCCCTCTCAGTTCTCTTAAAGAATGGCAGACTGACTGTGGGTCAGAAGATTATTATTCACGGAGCAGAACTGGTGGGCTCTCCTGAAGCTTGTACACCTCTTGAAGCCCCAGAATCTCTTATGTTAAAGGTAAATTACTGTACACTCTTGATAAAAATTAGTCACTGATCGAGTTAATTCTAGAAAAGTTTTACATTTAAAATTTTAAATTTACAGCCGGGCACAGTGGCTCACGCCTGTAATCCTAGCACTCTGGGAGGCCGAAGTGGGCGGATTGCTCGAGGTCAGGAGTTCGAAACCAGCCTGAGCAAGAGCAAGACACCATCTCTACTATAAATAGAAAGAAATTAATTGGCCAACTAATACATATAGAAAAAAATAGCCAGGCATGGTGGCGCATGCCTGTAGTCCCAGCTACTCTGGAGGCTGAGGCAGAAGGAGGTGGATTGCTTGAGCCCAGGAGTTTGAGGTTGCTGTGAGCTAGGCTGACGCCATGGCACTCACTCTAGCCTGGGCAACAAAGAATTTTTTTTTTTTTTAATTTACTTATGTTGTTAAGGATGCTCCAGTTCTTGAAAATGTACTGATACTCTTAGTATAAGAAGCAGATTCTTCAGACAGTTCAATGTTTTGTGCTGTTTTGGGGAGAGCCAGAGATATTTCTTGAGCTCAAATAATACCATTCCAATTAAAAAGCAAGAGTAAATTTGCACTAGGTATTCAATTTTGGTACCTATAGCCCTTGCTGCCACCTTGTTTTCAGCTTTGCTTCCATCCTGATTATTTGGTCAGATTCCTATTTCAGTGTAATTAGAGAATTAGATTTCAGTGGTTCTCGAATATGCAATAAAATATACCTTTCATCTCTATGTAGATTTTAAACTGTATAACAGGATTTTGCCATGTTAATAGTCTGCAGTATTGCTATCAGAAATTACTGATAACATTGCACATTCAGATTCATTTATAAGGCAACCTTATAGAGAATTTACTTTTGTTAATTTGGATTACTCTAAGGAGAACTTAGAGTAATTTATACAATTATAATTAATAAAACTATAATTTAATAATTTATACAACTATAAGTTATATAAATTAAACATTTTTAAGGTAAAGAGATATTTTATGTGGTGTTAGCTCCACACTGGATTGCTTTTTACTGAAAGCATTCCATCAAACTGAAACATGCTTTTGGTGTATGTTGCTTAGAATATCACATTTGCAATGGCTTTCATTTTCTTGTTTGTTTTTATCAAATCAATGCATATGCATAATTTGAAAACTCAAGTAATACAAGGCCCATGACGAAAAGAAAAACACTCACTGGCACAACCCTTCCACTCCCTATTCATGCTCCCTAGAGGCAACCATTTCCAGTCCTATTGGCTGTTTCTTTGGCTTGTACTGCTATGTCATCTTTTCCCCTTCAGTTTAAACAGTAACTATTAATTTCCTGCTATGGAAGATAAGGATTTAGCTCTCTTACACCAACACTGCCACATATTTTTCTTTCTCTATCTTCTGCATTTTAATAGAGCATAATTTTTAGTGAAGGCTATATTCAGTATATACATTAAATAACTATGAAAAATATTTTTTGCAGCTTAGCACCTGACATGCTATAATCACATTTCTTTTCTTTACAACTTACTACTTTCCACACAGTTATTAACTGTCTTTTCTTGTTTATTTTTCTTAATTGTTTGTATCCTTATCACTGACTCGCTCCCACACTGGAACTATAAAAATCCTCACCAGTATGTTGAAATATCTCCATTAGTTTCATCTCTTTTTCTTGGGGACCCCTGGACCTCTTCATACTTGTACTGCATTCTGAAGTGGTTATTTTCATTATATGCTGCACAGCTCTTATTCTGGAAATTCTTCTCACCTCTTTTCTGTGTTAAAAGCCTGGATTCTATGGTATATTTCTAGACTTATTTCCTAGTTCTAAGGGCACACAACTCCAGAGGCTTCTTGAGAAAGGGAGCATACAGCTTGTTGATATCTTTTTGTAAGGTTGGCTAAATATAGAATTCTAGATTGAAATAATGCCTTCACAGTTTTTAAGACTTTTTTTTTTTTTTTGAGACAATAGTCTCGCTTTGTTGCCCAGGCTAGAGTGAGTGCCGTGGCATCAGCCTATCTCACAGCAACCTCAATCTCCTGGGCTCAAGCAATCCTCCTGCCTCAGCCTCCCAAGTAGCTGGGACTACAGGCATGTGCCATCATGCCCAGCTAATTTTTTCTATATATATTAGTTGGCCAATTACTTTCTTTCTATTTATAGTAGAGACGGGGTCTCGCTCTTGCTCAGGCTGGTTTCGAACTCCTGACCTCGAGCAATCCGCCCGCCTCGGCCTTCCAGAGTGCTAGGATTACAGGTATGAGCCACCGCGCCCGGCCTAAGACTTTTTTATCTTCTTGCATCTAATATAGCTCCTGCTAAGTTCAATGTTATTTTTATTCTTAGTCCTTCAGTATGTGGTCTGTTTTTAAGACATTTTTAATATTGTTTTTTCTCTATTATTTTGAAATTTGTCAATAAAGTACTTTGCTGTCTTTTTTTTTTTTTTTTTTAGATTGTAGATACACACTAGCACTAAATCTAGAAACACATGTCCTTCATTGAGTTCTGGAAAACATTTTTTAAGTGGTACTTTGATAATTTCCTCCCTTTCATTATTTTTATTTTCTCTACTTTTGGGGGTATCGGGGCAGATCTCCTGATATTTGTCCTTTATTGAGTTCTGGAAAAATGTTTTTAAGTGGTACTTTGATAATTTCCTCCCTATCATTATTTTTATTTTCTCTGCTTTTGGGGGTGTCAGGGTAGATCTCGTCATATTTGGACACTAGGCCTCCTGGAGTGGTCCTCTAATTTTCTATTTTCCTCCTACCTTCTATTTTATTGTCTGTTTTTATTCCAACTTCCAGGATAGTTCTTAATTTTTTCCTCGAATCTTTAAAGTAAATTTTTATTTACCAGCTTAATTTTCATTTCTGAACAGACCTTTATTATTATCTAAATGTTTTTCTTTTTTTTGTCATACTCAGTTCTTATTACATAGATATAATATCTTCTCATCTTTCTAAAGCTATTGATTAATGTTTTGTTTTATTTTAGGTTTTTCTGGTCTCTGCATTTTTTTTCCTATGAGAACCTCTTCTTTTGTTTGTTTGGGCTGATCTTTCCTCTTTGATAGAGTGGTACCAATGAGCTTACTACGAGCTCTGTGTGAGATGGGACTTGTCAGCTTAGAGGGTGATAAGGTGGGAATTTGGTTTTTTAGTTAGGAGACCCTCAAATATTAGTGAATATTCTGAGACCTGAGCAGAGAAAGGAAACTATTAGGAAGGCACATTTTCAGCATTAAGGATTTTCCTTGCAGTTTTGTTTTCAATATAGCATCTCACTCCTCTCTAGCTGCTTCTTCCTGATGTTCCAGAGTCAACGATATGTGTGGTTCGGTTTCTCCAGAAAGTAAAGTCTCCTGGGGATTTTTTTTTTTAGGATGAGGGAGAGACAGCTACCTGGCTGCTTGGAAAAGGAGAGGAAATCTGGAGTCTTAACTATCTTTGTACAAAATTTCAACCACTCCTCCTATTTTAAGCCCCACCTTATGCTCCTGGCTTCAGAGGTACCTGTTGCCTCTAATTTGAGTGTTTTCCTTCAATTATTTTGTTTCATATTAACTCCTTACAACTCGCTTGCTGGCTGAGTAATGTTGGGGAAGTTATGTAACTTCCCATATACTTCAGCTTTACTTATAAACTTGGAATAAGTCTTGGGTTGTTCTGAAGATTAAATGTTATTATATGTAAAGCATTTAACATCAGGTCAGGTACCATAGTAAGAGTCCTTTGAGTGTTTGCTATTTTTTTAATTAGCTATAATTATTCTCAGGCTACTTTGTCATTTACTTATCCAACAAATTTTTAACTTCCAAAATTTTAGTGTAGCTCATCTACTGTTCTCTTTAGTTCTTTTTGTCCTTGTAGGTTTTTTGAGGAAGCCTAGATAAATAAGCATATTTTAATCCATCATGTTTAAATTGAAGTCCATTTTATCTATTTATAATAGAAATATTTCAATCGCTTTAAGGCCTTATAACAGTATAAATATACTACTTTTAAGAAGTATTGGCTGGACGCAGTGGCTCACTCCTGTAATCTTAGCACTCTGGGAGGCCGAGGCAGGCAGATTGCTCAAGGTCAGGAGTTCGAAACCAGCCTGAGCAAGAGTGAGACCCTGTCTCTACTATAAATAGAAAGAAATTAATTGGCCAACTAATACATACAGAAAAAATTAGCTGGACATGGTGGCACGTGCCTATAGTCCCAGCTACTCGGGAGGCTGAGGCAGCAGGATTGCTTGAGCCCAGGAGTTTGAGGTTGCTGTGAGCTAGGCTGATGCCACGGCACTCGAGTTCTAGCCTGGGCAACAAAGCAAGACTCTGTCTCAAAAAAAAAAAAAAGTATTATATTTTGGCCAGGCATAGTGGCTCACACCTGTAATCAGAGTGCTTTGAGAGGCTGAGGCAGGAGGACTGCTTGAGCCCAGGAGTTTGAGACCAGCCTTGGCAACATAACCAGACCCAGTCTCTACAAAAAAAAACTTTAAAAAAATTAGCCAGGCATGGTGGTGTGCACCTGTAGTCAGTCCCAGCTATTTGAGAGTCTGAGGCAGAAGGATTGCTTGAGCCCAAGAGTATGAGACTGCAGTGAGCTATGATTGTACCACTACACTCAAGCATAGGCTACAGAGCAAAACCATGTCTCAGAAAGCAAAAGTACTATATTTTGAAAACATTTTCACTTGCATACAATTTTTCTACTTATTGATTTTCTTACTAATTGTCATAAGACTTTTAAAAATACTTTATAGCAACCCTAAAAGAATAGAAACTCTTTTGAGACTGGGCACAGTGGCTCACACCTATAATCCTAAACACTCTGGGAGGCTGAGGCAGGAGGATCGCTTGAGGTCAGGAGTTTGAGACCAGCCTAAGCAAGAGTGAGACCCTGTCTCTACTAAAAATAGAAAAAGAAAAAAGTTAGCAAGGTGTGGAAGTGCGTGCCTATAGTCCGAGCTACTTGGGAGGCTGAGGCAGGAGGATCACTTGAGGCCAGGAGTTTGAGGTTGCTGTGAGCTAGGGTGCACCCCAGCCCTCTAGCCTGGGTTACGGGCAAGACTCTGTCTCAGAAGAAAAACTAAAAACTACTATGAAATCTGTAATAGAATTGAATGTATATTTAATTTCTAAATCAATTTATTCATTACTTTGTCCAGATTTCTGCTAACAGTACTCGGCCCACTTGCTGGTATACCAAACTTGGATTCTTTCCTGACCCTAGACCTTTTCCTCTGCCCTTGTCGTCACTTTTCAGTGATGGAGGAAATGTTGGTTGTGCTGATGTAATCATTCAGAGAGCATACCCTGTACAGGTATGATATATTCTTGAACTTTACTGTGTATTTCTTTCTTTTGAGACAATTAATTTGAATGTTCCCTCATTACCATTTTTGTATTTGTGTGTGACACATTATTACAGTGGATGGAGAAGACATCATCTGGATTATACATATTTCGCAATGAAAGAGAAGAAGAAAAGGAAGTAGCAAAATATGCAGAGGCCCAACAAAAGAGACTAGAAGCCTTATTCACTAAAATTCAAGCAGAATTTGAAGAGCATGAAGGTAAAATGAGTTGTATGTTACAAATCCTTTATTTTTTACATGAGAGCTAAGTTTCAGAGGCTTCCAATTTAACATTTATAATCAAGTGAATTGTCTTTATTTTTGAATAATAGATTTTTTCTAATTCTGAATCTTAATTTTTTAAAAAATATTACACTGATATACAGATAAGCATTGGACTGATCCCAAATTATCACATCTTTATTTAATATACTGAGCTTTTATTACTTATAATTATCTTAGGCAATAAAACCTTACATACTAACAGTACTTTTCAGAAATCTTAAGTATACTCCTCTTAAGCTTCAGTCCTAAAGTATCAAGAGTATCCTTTTTTGGTATTAGAGAAAGGATAGCAACAAGGGAGAGAACTAGGAGATTATTTTTCTCTAAGCCTTTTGTCACTCTTTTTCCTCAGTGTCCTTATCTACATTATATAAATTTTGCAATTTTGTCATTGTAGTTATTTTCATGTGTTGTCATATCTAAAACTAAGACTTATTATCCCTGTGCCATCAGTTTTAATAATAAAAATCATATCTCCTAGAACCTGACTTTTCTGCAGAGAAAAAGAAAAAAAAATTATAGCATTTTTTATGTTTAAAGGACATAAATTTTACTTTATCCAGTCTACCTATTTTTGTCCCTGAAGGTCTCGTGCTTTCCTGCATTTCCTATATTCCTAACTTTCCTTTCTATTTAACTTCATGTTCTATAAAAACCTGAGGAAAGATGGGACTCCTAATACTTTATTTGCTTAAAATTATCACTAGCTCATAGTGTTTTCATGAATAAGTGAATCATGAACTCATTCACGGGCATACCTCAGAGATATTGCAAGTTTGGTTACAGACCACTGTGATAAAGCCAATAACGCAATAGAGGAAGTCACACAAATTTTTGGGTTTCCCATGTAAAAGTTATGTTTACAGTATACTGTAATCTGCTAAGTGTGCAATAGCATTATGCCTAAAAAAGCAATATGCATAACTTAATTTAAAAATACTCTATTGCTAAAAAATGTTAACGACCATCTAAACCTTCAGGTTATAATCTTTTTGTGGGTGGAAGGTTTTGCCATGATGGCTGATGACTGATCAGGATGATGGTTGCTGAAGGTTGTGGTACCTGTGGCTATTTTTTAAAATAAGACAACAAAACAGATTGCTGCATTGAATGACTCTTCCTTTCATGAAAGATGATGCTGTTTTGATAGCATTTTACCCAAAGTAGAACTTTCACAATTGGAGTCAGTTCTCTCAGACCTTGCCACTGATCTATGAACTAAGTTTATGTAATTCTCTAAACCCTTTGTTGTCACAACATCTTTACCAGGAGTAGATTCCTTCTCAAGAAACTACCTTCTCTCTCTCTTTTGCTACAAGGGGGTCTAGTCGTCATCTGTAGCATATGTATCTTGCTCTGTAAACCTATGTCTTGCTCTTGTTCTATAATCCTATCTTGTACCCCCTCAATAAATTTCACCTTGTGTTTGCCTTAAGACAAAAAGAAAGAAAGAAACTACTTTCTTTGCTCATCCATAAGAAGCACCTTCTTATCCCTTCAAGTTTTGTCATGAGATTGCAGCCGTTCAGTCCCATCTGCAGGCTCCACTACTAATTCTTTTGCTATTTCCATGACATCTGCAGTGACTTCCTCCACTGAAGTCTTGAACCCCTTAAAGTCATCCAGAAGGGTTGGAATCAACTTCCTCCAAAATCCTGTTAATGTTGATATTTTGACCTCATCACATGTATCGTGAATGTTCTTAATGGCATCTAAAATGATGAATTCTTTTTTTTTTTTTTCAGTTGGTTTTCAATTACTTTGCCCAGATCCATCAGAGAAATCACTATCTATGGCACTATAGCCTTATAAACTGGATTTCTTAAATCCTAAGTCTTGAAAGTTGAAATTACTCCATGATCCATTTGCTGCAGAATGGATATTGTGTTAGCAGGCATGAAAACAACATTAAATCTCCTTGTGCATCTCCATCAAACTTCATGGGTGTACATTGTCAATGAGCAGTAATATTTTGAAAGGAATCTTTTTTTTATGAGCAGTATGTCTCAATAGTACTCTTAAAATATTCAGTAAACCATGATATAAACAGATGTGCTGTCATCCAGGATTGATTGTTCCATTTCTAGAGTACAGGCATATTTAGGATAATTCTTAAAGGCTTTAGGATTTTGGGATGCTAAATGAGCACTGGCTTCAACTTCAAGTCATTAGCTTCTCAGCCCCTAAAAAGACAGCCTGACCTTTGAAGCTTTGAAGCCAGGCATTGACTTTTCTTCTCTAGCTATAAAAGTCCTCGATAGCATCTTCTTCTAATATAAGACTCTTTCATCTACGCTGAAAATCTATAGTTTAATTTGATCAGGTCCCATTTATTTATTTTTGTTGTTGCTATGATTGCTTTGGGGGTCTTCTTCATAAATTCTTTGCCCAGGCCGACATCTGAAAGGGTCTTTCCTACATTTTCTTCTAGGATTCTTAAGGTTTCATGCCTTAGGTTTAAGTCTGTTATACACTGTGAATTGATTTTTGTAATAGGTGAGAGGTGGGGATCCAGTTTCAATCTTCTGCATATAGTTATCCAGTTTTTCCAGCACCATTTATTGAAAAGAAATTCTTTTCCCCAGTGCATATTTTTGTCCACTTTGTCAAAGATTAGATGACCATATGCAGATGGTTTCATCTCTGGATTCTCAGTCCTGTTCCAAAAGTCTGTATGTCTGTTCCTATGCCAATGCCATCAAATATCATGGTGTTTTAGTTACTGTGGCCTTGTGATTACAGCTTGAAGTCTGGTAGACTGATACCTCCCAGTTTGTTCTTTTTGCTTAAGATTGCTTTGGCTATATGAGGTCTTCTCTGGTTCCATACAATGCATAGAATTATTTTTTCTAGATCTGTAAAGAATGATGATGGTACTTTCATAGGGATTGCATTAATGCTGTAGATCACTTTAGGTAGTATGGACATTTTAACAACATTGATTCTGCCAATCCATGAGCAAGGTAGATTTTTCCATCTGTTTCCATCTTCTACAATTTCTTTTCTTAGTGTTTCTTAGTTCTCCCTGTATATGTCTCTCACCTCTTTCGTTACATATATTCCTAGATGTTTAATTTTCTTTGAGGTTATTATAAAAGACACTGCACTTTTTATTTGAATTTTGGCTTGACTGTTATTGGCGTATATGAATGCCTCTGATTTGTGTGTATTTATTTTGTATCCTGAGACTTTACTGAATTCATTTATAAATTCCAGGAGTCTCTTGGTTGAATCCTTGGGATTTTCTACATAGCATATCATCAACAAAGACAGTGTGATCTCTTCTGCCTTCATTTGGACACCGTTAATTGCCCTCTCTTGTCTAATTGCTCTAGCAAGGACTTCTAGCACTATGTTGAACAGAAGTGGAGATAGTGGGCAACTTTGTCTGATTCCAGTTCTAAGTGGTAATGGTTTCAGTTTTTCCCGGGAAACTATCATTAGAGCAAATAGACAGCCTACAGAATGGGAGAAAATATTTGCTCTCTACACATCCAACAAAGGGCTGATAACAAGAATCTATCTAGAACTCAAAAAAATCAACAAGAAAAAATCAAACAACCCCATCAATAAATGGGCAAAGGACATGAACAGAAACTTTTCAAAAGAAGACAGAATCATGGCCAACAAACATAAAAAGAAATGTTCAACATCTCTAATCATTAGGGAAATTCAAATCAAAGTCACAATGAAATATCACCTAACCCCAGCGAGACTGGCCTTTATCAAAAAATCCCAAAACAACAAATGCTGGCGAGGATGTGGAGAGATAGGAACATTCTTACACTGCTGGTGGGACGGCAAATTAGTGCAACCTCTGTGGAAAACAATTTGGAGATACCTCAAAGAGCTTAAAATAGAAATACCATTTGATCCAGCAATAGCACTATTAGGTATCTACCCAAAGGAACAAAAGATATTCTATAATAAAAACATCTGCACTCGAAAGTTTATGGCAACACAATTCACTATTGCAAGGGTGTGGAAACAACCCATGTACCTGTCAATCCATGAGTGGATTAATAAAATATGGTATATATATACAATGGAATACTATTCAATTATAAAAAACAACAGTGATCTAGCACCTCTTATATTTTCCTGGATAGAGCTTGAGCCTATCCTCTGAAGTGAGGTATCACAAAATAGTCAGCACATGTACTCACCACCAAATTGGCACTAACTGATGAACAGTAAGGTGCTCACATGGTAGTAATATTCTTTAGGGATTGGGGTTGGGGATGAGTAAACTCACAACTAATGGACTCAGTGAGCATCGTCTGGGGGGGGGGAGGGCACACCTCAAATCATGGTTTAGATGTGGCATAGTCATAACATATAACCAAAATGTTTGTACCTGCATAATATTCTGACATAAAATAAAAGAAAATCAGTGGTTTAGTGAGTCTACCTTCATCAATGATCTTAGCTAGATCTTCTGGATAATTTGCTACAGCTTCCCCATTGGCACTTGCTGCCTCATCTTGCACTTTTATGTTAAAGAGACTACTTCTCTCCTCGTGCCTCATGACCTAACCTCTGCTAGCTTAAGACTTCTTTCCTGCAGCTTCCTCGCCTCTCTTAGCCTTCATAGAATTGAAGAGAGTTAGGGCTTTGCTCTAGGTTAGATTCTGGCTTAAGGGAATGTCATGGCTGGCTTGATATTCTATCCAGACCACTCAAACTTTCTCTGTAACAGCAATAAGGCTGTTTCACTTTCTTATTATTCATGTGTTCACTGGAATAGCACTTTTAATTTTCTTCAAGAACTTTTCCTTTGCATTCACAACTTGGCTGTTTAGTACAAGAGGCCTACCTTTTGGCCTGTCTTAGCTTTCAACATGCCTTCCTCACTAAACTTAATCATTTGTAGTTTGAGTTAAAGTGAGAGACGTGTGACCCTTCCTTTCACTTGATTACTTAGAGGCCATTATAGGGTTATTAATTGGCCTAACTTTAATATTGTGTCTCAGGGCGTAGGGATGCCCACAGGGAGAGAAAAAGATGGGGTAATGGCCAGTTGGTGGAAGAGTCAGAACATACACATTTATCACTTAAGTTCACCATCTTATATGGGCATGGTTTGTGGCACCCAATACCATTACTATAGTAACATCAAAAGCTACTGATCACAGAGCACCATAACAGATATAATCGTGATGAAAAAGTTTGAAATTTTGTGAGAATTACCAGAATGTGACAAGGAGACACAAAATGAGCACATCCTGTGGGGAAAATGCTGCACATAGGCTGCTTGACACAGGGTGCCACAAACATTCAGCTGGGGATGAGGGGAGCAATATTTGCAAAACACAATAAAGTGAAATGCTATAAAACAAATATGCTTGTACTTAATGTCCCAATTACTCTAAGTAAACTCTGTATGACATTTTTTGACCATGTCGAAATTTTCCTAGAAAACTTAACAGATAGTTTATTTTTAATCTCCGTTGTTTGGATATTTTTTGCTTGATTCTCTAGTTTTAGGGGTTTTTTAAAATTTTTTATTTAGCTAATAAGTGATGCTTTTTTTCCCCCTAGAAAACACAACAAAACAATATATACCATCACGTGCACTAACAAGACAACAAGTCCATGCTCTGCAAGATGGTGCAGAGCTTTATGAAGCAGTGAAAAATGCATCAGATCCAGGTTACCTTGAGGTAGGTGAGAGAGTAAGAGGGCATATAATGAGCTTTGATCTTCATCCTTTAAGATGGTAGGTGTCTTTACAGTGGTCTTTACAGGAAGCAATATGTTGAAATGTTGCATTTCTCAAAGGGAACGTGTATATTTCTAGGGTCCTCAATGATACGCAACCAATGTGGTATGCTTTCGATTTTATACTAAGTGGAGGATGGGAGGGTTCAAGAATTTTAGATATTAAATGTAGTTTAAAATACTGGTAAAACTTATTTAGCTTTAAGATAAAACAAGTATCTTCAAAGCACTGGCTTAGTTTCCATGTTCTTAGCTCTTCTTCAGATTCTACCTAGAGCTTATTTCATAATCCTCTACCTTAAGGGTACTTAGGCAGAAAGGTTTCAGAAGCATTAAACTATGTTAGAAATAGCATAGCCTTTAGAATCATAGCTCTACTATTTATTTAAGTAAGCAAATGGGTAATAAAATAGCAATAAAATGGATATAAAATTTTTTAAGAATAACTTAGGTAATATATATATATATAATTTTCATATAAATGTTAGTTACTACCATTAGAATATCACTTCATATATTAAGATAAGCTACCTCCTAAACTAAGTTTTTAACACATTAACTGCCATGTGAGTTATATTTAACTCAAACTAGTTTTGAGCCTGGGGCTTCATGAAGCATATGTGACTTGCATGTCTCTTCACCTTGTGAACCACATGAACTATTTTTCAAGTTGCATATAACTGATGCAGAGAAAACAATAAAAAATAACAAATTTTTCATTAAATTAGAAAGGATCATTTTGATTTTGAAGTTTCTATTCTATTTTCATAATAAAACACCATGGCCCCAAGGAAAAAAATGTTTTTTCTAGTGTGGCAGTCAATATGTTAAACACCTGGATGTCTATAATAATTAATGCAAATTCCAGGATTAGTTTTCTAGATAGAAAAGAGAGGGAGGAAATATTTTACTTAAACTACTTTTCTGTTTATTGATTTTATTTTATTTAATAAATTTTGTGAATATAGCCTTATCTTTCTTAAATAGTGGAACTCTAAAATAAACAGTACTTCATCAGTAGTGTGAGCAGTACTGTTCTGAATAGAATTTCATTCTGTTCTCAAATGTTACAACTTGGGCTCTTTTTGTGAGAAGTAGTCCAGTTTTAAAGCCTGTAAGTTTACTTGCCAGAAATCTGTAAGTTGAGACTGTATTATGCTTTCCTGAAAAATTATTTGCCTCTATCTTTTCTAATATTATTTCATTTGCTGGAACTTGTGCCTTCTTAGAATCATCATTAAAATAGTTTTGCCCGGCGCGGTGGCTCACGCCTGTAATCCTAGCACTCTGGGAGGCCGGGGCGGGCGGATTGCTCGGGGTCAGGAGTTCGAAACCAGCCTGAGCAAGAGCAAGACCCCGTCTCTACTATAAATAGAAAGAAATTAATTGGCCAACTAATATATATATAGAAAAAATTAGCCAGGCATGGTGGCGCATGCCTGTAGTCCCAGCTACTTGAGAGGCTGAGGCAGAAGGATTGCTTGAGCCCAGCAGTTTGAGGTTGCTGTGAGCTAGGCTGATGCCACGGCACTCAACTCTAGCCAGGGCAACAAAGTGAGACTCTGTCTCAAAAAAAAGAGATAGGTTTAATTTCATCCACCAAATTTAACAACATATTTTTAGTCTGATTTCCTTTATAGAATTTACTGATATTATAAAGAGGAAATAAAGAGGCAGAATAACAGTTGGAGGACTAAGTTCTAGACCTGGTCTTGCCACTCTGTAACTGGTCAAGAGATTTGTCGCCTCATTCCCACCTTCTATCAAGGGAAAACCTCAGTGTAGGTTATCTCTAAAGCTCCAAGTATTTATAATTCTATGAGATTGACTTAGATAAAATTATTAATAATTCTTGGAGGGGAATATAACCATCAATTTCTAAAATAGCCCTGTAGAACTTTTCAGTGACAATGGTGAATGTTGTAGGCTTGAAATCACAAGTTTGAAAAAAATCATGTTTAAACATTGCCTATTTAGAAAGACCTTTGCATGTGCAGAGATTGTATAGGCTTCTTCCCAGTATAGATTAGGATATTAAGATGTGTAAGGCAGCAGCAGTCTAGTATGTTATATATCTAGATTCCATTTCCTATTTTTTTTTTTTTTGAGACAGAGTCTCGCTTTCTTGCCTAGGCTAGAGTGAGTGCCGTGGCGTCAGCCTAGCTCACAGCAACCTCAGACTCCTGGGCTCAAGCAATCCTCCTGCGCTCAGCCTCCCGAGTAGCTGGGACTACAGGCACGAGCCACCAGCCGGCTGATTTTTTATATTATTATATAGTTGGCCAATTAATTTCTTTCTATTTTTATGGTAGAGACGGGGTCTCGCTCAGGCTGGTTTTGAACTCCTGACCTTGAGCAATCCTCCGCTCAGCCTCCCAGAGTGCTAGGATTACAGGCGTGAGCCACCGCCGCCGGCCTCCTTTCCTATTTTATTTGTTATTGTTCATTTTTTATTTTGGTTACACTGAGTAATATTCCCAAGAGGTCCAGATAGGAATTTGCTAAAATCAGTAGAGAAGTGTAGAGACAAAGATACAAACGCTTGTAGTACATGTCTGTTTTAAACTGTATCTCCTGTTTCAAAGAGCTAATGAAATTAAATGACAGGGGCTAAGAATAAAGGTTCTTGAGCCGGCTTCTCCCTATGTGGCCTATGCAAGTTTTCTTTGGACCTTAATTTTATCATCTATAACATGAAACAGTAACAGTACCCACCTCATAGGACTGTTGTGAGGATTAAATGAGTTAATGCATTTACCACACATAGATCTATTTCTCAAGTATAGTGAGCATCAAATGTTAGCCATTTTTAATGTATAGGTGATGACTATGATTATTAGAAGTACATTTATAATTAGAGGATTGTTTTTGCAGTAGGGAAATTTTAGAATTAGTAACAGGTGAGTACCTGAGAATATTATGTGATAAACTGAATACATTAATCCACACCTTTAAGATGATCTTCAATTCGTTGTATTTATTCCCATTTAGAGTGATCCAATTACAATAAATGGGACTTTTTGTTTTGTTTGCTTGTTGTTCCAATATTTTAAATGTCATAGGGTTATTTCAGTGAAGAGCAGTTAAGAGCCTTGAGTAATCACAGACAAATGTTGAATGATAAGAAACAAGCACAGATCCAGTCGGAATTCAGGGAAGGCCATGGAATCTGCTGAACAAGACAAAACAAGGTTTATCAAGGATTTACAACTGTGTGGAAGTTGCGTGTTGTAAGCTATGCAAAAAAGAAAAGATTCAGGTCAGTGTGTAATGTTTTGTTTTTATCACTTTTGTTAGTTAAAAGTATCTGATTAATAAAATTATATAAATGCTAGATAAAGTATAAGTTAGTTTATATCAGAGGAGCAAAATGGACTACCAGTGCCCACAAAGTGATAATAAAATCCTTACTCTTTATTATCTGTTTTGATTTTTAACAAGAATTTTAATGATTATCAATTCTTCCCATTGCATCTTTTTTCATATTTCTCTAAACAGTTAATATTGAGTGTCTGGCGTCCTCATCAGAATTAATTCCTGTTAACAGAAGGAAAAGATACAGAATCTACATCTTGCAACATCAAAATCTAAAAGTAAATCTAAAAAACTAACATACAGTTGCCAGCAACAAAAAAAACTCAGTATCAACAACTACCGTACAAACCTTTTCATTATCAATAATAATTATAATTTTGCCTTTTTTATTAAATTTTTCAATTTTGTAAATGTATCTTCTAAGTTACAGACATTCCAAATATTGATATTTTTGTTTATAGCTTCAGATGAAATTCTTATTCCAGGTTTACCAGCCAAGGGAGCCCTTCACTATCAACAGATTATTAGATCCAGACTTTCAGCCACCTTGTTCGAGTGGACCTAATACGGATTTATCAGTTTCCCGTTGGCAAAAAACGGTAATGTACAGGTATTTAATTGTTCTTTATTGATCTTTTTAAAAACATTTCTTTATAAAATTTGTCTTCCTTAGGATTAGTTGACCTACCAGCTGGCAAATTCTACGAGTGATTTTGAAAGTAAGCTTCTCCTTAAACAAACTGATTCTTTTTTTTTGAGACAGAGGCCTCACTGTGGTTGTGTGCCGCTAGAATGCCATGAATCAGCTAGCTTCACAGGCAACCCTCAAACTCCTGGGTCGAAGCGATCTCCTGCCTCAGCCTCCTGAGTAGCGGGACTGCCAGGCACATGCCACCGCATGCGCCCCAGCTATTTTTTTGATACTTTTAGTTTCGCTCAATTCTCCTATTATAGTAGAGATGGGTTCCGCTCTTGCTCAGCTGGTCTCCGAACTCCTGAGCTCAGCAAAACCTCCCCTCAGCTCCCAGAGTGGCTAGGATTACAGGCCGTGAGCCACTGCAACGCTGGCGCAGACAAACTGATTTTTTTTTATATATAATAGTTTAGTGGCCGTTAATTTCTTTTATTCTTTATTTATTATTACTTTTTATTTTTTTAAGCACATTATATGGAGTACTGATTTAAGGTTTCAATAATCCCATTTCCCCCCCCCCACAAGTTGTGAGTCTCCAGCATGACCGATGCCCCAGATGGCCATCTCACTCATTATATACTTATACCGCCCCCCTCCCCTGGGCCCAAATAACCCTATTACTGTAAGTACCTATGTACACTTAGGCTATTCAGTTAATGCAATTTTGCTGGTGAGTATATGTGGTGCTTGTTTTTCCATCTCTGGGAAATCACTTAATCAGTATGGGTTTCCAGCTCTAAACCAGGAGAAAATATAAGATGTGGCTATTCACCATTGTTTCTTAGAGCTGGATAGCTACTCCCATGGTATACATCCCACATTATTAATCCATTCCTTGGATGATGGGCACTCTGGGCTGTGTCCCACACCTGCAATTATGAATGTGCTGTGCTATAAACATTGAGTGCAGGTGTCTTTTTTGTAGAGTGCCAT